CTCTCTCTCTAAAATAAATAAAATCATGGATCTAAAAAAAATAATAAATAAATAAAATCTTTTTTAAAATTAAAAAAAAAGAAAGATGAGTGCGAAAATGGAAATTGCCAAAAAAGAGACAGGGGTGTCCAGGAGGAAGTCGGCAGTGATCATGAAAAGGGAGGAAGCTAAAACTTGTGGCTGGAGAGAGGCCCCGAGAGAGGGTGTCTGATGGGAAAAAGAGTAGTAACTGGTACCAAAAGAGAAGCCAAGATGAGGAAGCAGAGATGTTTGAAGGGAATTGTTACAGAGTTTTTCAGTGTGGAATGCCATATGATTTTTTTTTTTTTTATGATTTTACTTATTTGACAGAGAGCACAAGCAGGGGGAGCAGGAGGCAGAGGGAGAGGGAGAAGCAGACTCCCTGGAGAGCGGTGAGCCTAATGTGGGGCTCAGTCCCAGGACCCCAGGATCTGACCTGGGCCAAAGGCAGCCACTTAACCGACTAAGCCACCCAGGTGCCCCCCATATGATTCTTTGTGAAACCTTCAGTAAACTCTCCATTTATCAGTGCTTTGCAACTAGGATTTGTTGCAGGGGAAATCAAATGACCCAGTTGCATTCAGGGACTAAGGATAATCATAGTGAGAGTGTCACATTCCAAAAGACCTGAGACATATGCCCAGCCTCACAGCAGGTCAAGGAAAGAGTTAAGAATCAGAAGAGGCCCACTAGGAGAAGTGGCACAAGAGCCTTAACCAATGACCAACAATTCTACTACAATAGTGCAGAGGGACTTTATGTGTGAGAGGCCAAGGGGGGAGGCAGAAAGATCTGAAAGTGTTCCATATGCTTAGGTAATGATGATGATTCACTATGTCCTGATGGTTGTCTGTATGAAGAAGGGGAGCAAGCTGGAGAGAAAAAAAAAGAATTGCTGGAAGAACTATGGATGATAGGCCACCTTCAGACCACTGGAGAGCAAAACACAGAGTGCCATGGGTTATATGGCACAATATGCTAAATCCCTGAAAAGAGAGGAAATAGGTCTGAAGAACTTCTGATCCCCCCACTCCAAGCAGCTATCTCCTTCATATGACTAAGCCGACCTGGACTATAAACACTGCATAAAATGAATCACGTTACAGCTTAATCTCACTCAACTTCAGTAGATTCCCCCTGGACTTGACAGCTCTGTTTCTATTAGGTAAGGAAAAGGCTGCCACCGGGCCATACTCATTGATTCCTAGGGTAGGTCTGACTCCCAGGGCCCTCCACCAATGCTGAAACTACCTATACTCTGGCTGCCTGAGGAGCTCCCACACCCACCATTATTCCACTGCTTCGCTTGAGGGCTACCTGTTCTGTGGGTCCCCTCAGTCTCTTCTATTCTCAGAACTGTGATTGATCACCCTGCATCCATCTGCCCCAAGAGAGTCTGAGTATCTTCTCATATAGATAAGTCCAAGTGGATCCTAAGGCATCTGGTGCCAATTATTTTTTCACTCAGGTCCCCATAACCTCAAGAAATAGAGATCATTCCATCAGTTAACAGATAAATATTGAACATCTACTGGGAATGCAATGACACAAAATTAGTAAGACATGATCCCTGGATGCCTGGCTGGCTCAGCTGGTGGAACATGTAACTCCTGATCTCAGAGCTGTGAGTTCAAGCCCCACATTGGGCATAGAGATTACTTAAAAATAAAATTAAAAACAAGAAAAAAAGGACATGATCCCTAACCTCAGGGATCTCAGTTGAGGGAGACATGTAAATAAACATGGACAGTTAGTGTGATAACTGCTGAGAAGGAGTAAGGAAGGGCTGCTGTGGGAAGACAGAGGGGAGATACTTGGTCCAAAGGGCAATAGAGAGGGAAGACTTTCCCAGGATTCCTAGAAGGAAAAGCAGGAGTTAGCTCAGTGATTAGGTTGAAGGAATGGAGGTGGCATAAGAAGCACAGGGCACAGGTATAGATGGGAATGGCCTGGGGAGAAAGTCCTTTGGGCAACTGTGGGTAGTTCATTGAGACTGGTATTCAGGCTGAAGAGGTAGAACCCAGGGTGCATCAGGAAGGATCTTGCATGCATTCTCAGGGATTTAGGACTTTATGAAAGCAGTGAGGGTCATGGCTTCATACTCTACAAAACAAAAAACAAAAACAAAAAGCCCTACGAGAAAGGAAATTGTGTACTATTTGATTCAACACTGAATAATAAACACACAGTCTTAATAACAAACATTCAATAATGATTTAACCAGTAATCATATTGGAAGGATGAGGGATGGGGATGACAGTTTTTTTTTCAAGATTTTATTTATTATCCATGACAGACACAGAGAGAGAGAGAGGCAGAGACACAGGCAGAGGGAGAAGCAGGCTCCTTGTGGGAAGCCTGACATAGGACTTGATCCCGGGTCTCCAGGATCAGGCCCTGGGCTGAAGGCTGCAGCGGTAAACCACCGAGCCACCCGGGCTGCTTAGCTCCACTAAGTCTGGAGCTTAATAAATAATATTAATATCATTCAATATTTATTAAATACTTAATATATAAGCCTAATGGTAAGCACTTTTCAAAGTTTTATTACCATAAGTAATCTCTACACCAAAGGTGGGGGTTTGAATTCACCATGCTGACATGAAGGCTTTTCCAACTGAGCCAGCCAGGCTTCCCTGAGCATTTTTAATAAAGATATGGAGGGGAGCCTGGGTGGCTCAGTCAATTGAGCATCTGCCTTCTGCTCCGGTCATGATCCCAGGGTCCTGGGATCCAGCCCTCGATCAAGCTCACTGCTCTGTGCGGAGCCTACTTCTCTGCCTCTCTCCCTCTCCCCTGCTTGTGCTATCAAATAAATAAATAAAATCTTTAAAAAAAATTTTTTTAAATAAAGAGATGGAAAAGAGGCCTAAAAAGCATATTTAAAAGGCTTGGACAGATGTCTTCTTTATTATTTCCACCATTGGTCATTGGAACACATTCCATTATTTAACAAAGGCATGACTGTATTCATAAAGTATAGAAGAGAGAGGTTATAATTCTGGTATCAGAAGCCAAAAACTAGTTAAGTGTTTCAAAAGCAGGAGGTGTACTCATCCTTGAAAAAAATATTTGCAGAAACAAAGGGACAGAATAACGTCCTTTGAAGAATCTATCTGCCTGGGAAAATAGGGATTTGCGACAACATTGTATGTGCAATTAAAATAAAAAGGTAATCTAGGATTTGATAGGACTGACATGAACAGGTTTGCAGAGGAAAGTTTCCCCGAGCCGTCTAGCGACTAAAGTTCTAGTCCCTTTCACCCCTCAGGCCCTCCAATTTCCCGATTGTGTAGCAAGGAGTCCAATAAAAAGATCTCTATGCTTCGGCCCACGCTCTAAGGTTCTGAGAATTCTTGGTAACGTGCTCTTGCCTTGGGACGTGGCAATAAACATACGACTCAGGTTTCCCACTAGGCTCCTAACATGGATGGAGTTCCTTAACCCGTCTCTAATTAAAACAAAGGGTTTCCGAATCAGCAACCCCTGGATTGGGTCTCCTCACAGTCCGCAATGACACCCGCCCTATAGCGGGACACCCAAGTGGCCCCGGCGGGCGCCCCCAGAGTGGGAACTACATATCCCAGGGTGCCCCGGGGCGGGGGCGCCCACTCGGATTGGCCGTCGGGGTCGGTGACGCTCAGTGTTTTGGCCCGGACGGTCACATGTTTCCTTTGTTGTGAGCTGCGGCAAACACTGGTGGCTGGAGGGAGACGCCGGCGCTGGAGAGAGCGCTGCGCCGCGGGCCGCTCGGGGAGCGCAGGGGCTGCCGCTGCTGGCCGTTTCCAGCCTTCGCCGAGAGGTACCCGGGGATGACAGCTCCGGGAGTAGCCGAGAGGCGAGGAACCGGCCCGAGCCAGGGGCGGAGGGGCAGCTGAGGTCGCCACCGTGGGGGTGTCTGCAGGAGAGAAGCCAGCGTCGGCCGGCGTCTGAGGAGAGATTGCGCCTGGCACTTGCAGGGTCTCTGGGGTGCGGGGTCTCCGGGGCACCCTTGGGGGGCTCTTCAGTTAACGCAGTTAACGGCAGTCCTCAAGGGAGGGCACCCCCGCCTCCTGGCACTACCGCCCCGGAACCGTGGCGTTGCTGGCGCGGCCCGCCGAGGGCGGATTGGGAGGAGCATGGCCGCGGGGGCTGGGGGTAGCAGGTGCGGGTCACCCCGCCGCCCCGGGGGCCGGGGCAGCTGGCGGACAGAGCTGGGCAGACGGGTCCCGCATGTTGCGCATGGGCTTTGAACCCGGGCGGCTCTTTTTTTTTTTTTTTTTTTTTAATGGAAGAAAGCACTGAGAATGCGAAGGTCTCGAGTCAAGCCATTTGGTTTGGCGGGGGCGACCGCTCGTCCTGTTGGGGAGGACTGACGGGGTCAAGGTGGGTCCCAGGGAATCGGTTGCGAAATGTGCTAGGCACCGTCACCTGACCGTTACCCCCGCCCCCGCCCCCACCCCCCGCGAGCCTTTGTTTACCACGGATGGCGGCTGAGCCAGGGCCGGGAATCCGGCCCTAGAGCGACCGTCCCCGGGGAGTCGGGGCGGGCGGGGGCGCAGGCGCTGAGCCGGCCGAGTCTCCGCCTAGCCTCCCCAGCTTCCTACCAGTCCCGGACGCGGTTCCTTAATTTAGTTCCTAACGTCCCCGCCCCCGAGTTCTGGACGCTCCGGGCGCAGAGTGTTACCACGGCGGGGATTGGGCGCCCGCGGCGTGCTGCGGGCGGGACGACGGGGCGTGTTCCGGGTGACGATTGGTGGCTGGCCTGTCGCTCTGCCCAAGCCGTTCCCCCCCGCCCCCGTGAAGGTGATCTGGAGGACGCGCGGGAGCCCGCGGCGCGCGTTCCCCGCGGAAGGGCTGCGGCGCAGGCCGGGCCGCCCCGCTGCCGCCGGGACCGCCGCCGCTCGCCGCCCGAGCCCCGAGGACCGGAACGTTGGCCCCGTTTACCGAGTGTCGCTTCATTGCCGAGGGGGCGGGAAGTCAGTCCTCGGACGAATTTGTTCTTTCTTGCTGGTTCTGTAAACAGGGCTTAAGTAGCGAAATACGGACGAAGAGGCAGGCAGTCAGGATTCGCAGTTGATCTTCGTGATTAATCACTTGGTTTCAAGCGGCTTTTTAAGAATTACGCCTTAGTAGTTGGCAGCTCTAGTCTTTGAGGTCCACCAGCTGAGTTCGATCTTTATTAGGAACGTAAAATAGGTTTAAAACCTGCCTGGTGTCGACTATGATTAAAATTAGCATTCTCCTTAAAAAAAAAAAAAGAAAGATAGCTTAAGGGTATCTTCCTAAAAGTTAAGAGTACGGAAGTATCTGACGTACCCCGGTTTAGATGAATTGTTTTCCTGGTTTAGAGGACTGTGGTCCACTCTTCTATATTAAGCCCACGGTAATTCAGAATTTGAGTAAATTTCAAATGTGTTGTTTTAAAATTGGAAACTAAGGACGTTAATAAAATCTCAAAGGAAATCATTTTAGCCATAATGTGTTGAAGATGCAGTTTGGAGTTAATAGGGTACTTGGGCTTTATCAAATTTTCTTTTCCTGTGAATTTATAGGAATTCACCCAAGACCTAATACATTTCTGTAGAAGTTAGATTGAGTTTCCTGGGTGAAGCAGGAACTGAATATTATGAGCAGTTCGCATTTCTTAGGCATTCTTAATATATTTTTGAAATTCGAGTGAAGATGACTACACCAGAAGGGCAGCTTCTGTGATCCCCAACTATCTCATCACTTGTGCATTGAGGGCACTTAACATATCTAAATAAGTACAAAATGCAAACCTCTTAGGGGTGGTGGAAGGGGAGGTGGGCCGGGGTGGGGGTGACTGGGTGACGGGCACTGAGGTGGACACTTGACGGGATGAGCAGTGGGTATTATTCTATATGTTGGCAAATTGAACACCAATAAAAAATAAATTTAAATTTAAAAAATGCAAACCCCTAACCTTTTTTTAAATCAACATTCAAAAGCCTGCCTATCTCGACAAAGCCTGTGACTTAGTCTCCGAAAAGGAAAAAGAAATATTTTGAGTTAAGGCTGTAAGTTTTAATTTAAATCTTTACTAGCTTTTCTTCAAATTGATAAAACCTAAATGCTTTTTCAAAAACTTTTAACTTCTTGTTTTTCTGTCATTTCATGAAAACCCAGAAGTCAAAACTGTGAAAAATAAATACTATTTATTAAATAAATGATCGCAGTTATTTTTGTGGATACTTTTACCTAGAAATTTGAGACCTCTTTTTTCAAGGTTTGCATTTTGTACTTATTTAGATATGTTAAATGCCCTCAATGCACAAGTGATGAGATAGTTGGGGATCACAGAAGCTGCCCTTCTGGTGTAGTCATCTTCACTCGAATTTCAAAAATATATTAATATTTTAGGTATGGACTGTGCTGAAAAATAAAATAACGTTCATAGGTATATCCATATAAATATATGAAAAATACATTTTGTGTAATTCTAATTGTGTGACTGAAAACGTGGCCATCTGACAACTGTTGACATTTTTAAATCCTTATTCTTTCTACTATTAAAAAACACAATAGCTAAACTTTTAATTGATGAGTTTGTTACTGCCTAAATTCATCACCCAAGGGCTTATAATTTCTCAGCATTTGGCACACCTTAAAGTCTACTAAATTGATGTTTAAAAGTGATTATGCCTGGGGCGCCTCGATGGCTCAGGCAGCTAAGTGTCCCAATTCTTGATTTTTAGCTCAGTCTTGATCTTGGAGTTGTCAGTTCAAGTCCTGCAGTAGACACTACACTGGGTGTGGAGCCCACTTTAAAAAAAAGTGATTAGGCTTTACTCTTTACTCAACAGTTTCTAAACATTATTTCTGTAAATATGTTGTGTCACCACTAAGGCAAATAAAAATCACTGAGTTAAAGGTATTTTTATACATAGAGAAGTCATCTGAAATACTAGATCTCAGACTTGTTTGAGTGGCAGAGCAGAGAGTAGTGTCCTTAATTTGATTTTGAAATAGAACAGTGCATTAAATACCTAAAAGAAACATGTAAGCAGGGTAAAACCAAATGATGTTAGGTTTACACATTAAGTCTAGCAAGAAGCACAAGTAGGCTCAATAGGCAGCTTGATAACAGGTGTGGTATTTGATAATTAACAAAGTTTTTCCTTTGTGGGTTGGGGAATATTAAACCAAAACTTCTAAGGCAAGAGAGAAAAAATGGAGAAATTTGATTTTTTTGTTCTGTGATTTAAGATCATAATCTGTTTTAGTTATAGAACTATATTGTTAAGTCTGACGCTGAGGTTTGTTGTTGTTTAAGATTTTGTTTACTCATGAGAGAGAGCGAGAGAGAGAGAGAGAGAGAGAGGCAGAGACACAAGCAGAGGGAGAAGCAGGCTCCTCACAGGGAGCCCGATGTGGGACTCAGTCGGATCCCAGGACTCCAGGATCATGCCTTGAGCCAAAGGCAGACACTCAACTGCTGAGCCACCCAGGCGTCCCCACTGCTAAGTTTTTCATCATTAGACACTTCTTATTTTTTTTCTCTCATTAATGACAGTCGGTGTATTGACCATTTGAGCTCTAGTAAACGAGATAATCACTACTTGCTATAATCCTAGACAAAGAAATTTAAGTGTCAGTTGGTTTCTGGTGGCTATGGTGGGTAAATACATTCTTGGTGATTCCATTAAGAAATTTAAAATGTTGAAAATAACATCTTGTTTATTAACTATTTCTTAAGTTATTTCATTCAGCTATGTAAAATAAACTCTTCTTCCTCCCCTCAAAAGAAAAGAACAGAACATCTTAAAGACTGGACTTTAAATACTGTATTTGCAAAACTTGGTTCAGGAACTGCTCACTACTAAGAGTAAAGCTTTAAATTGAAATTTTAAGAGTATGAATTTATAGTTTCTAAAAAGTCATTAAATAGAAAGTTTCAAATAAATTAGCTTTTGAGAAAATAGTGTAAAAATATCTGAAATTTGTAAAAAACTGCATGGTTTTATGTAGTGCCATATTCAGTATAATCTTCTAGTCATTTTAAATAATAAACTTACTGTGTTGTACTTTTCTGGCTTTCCTTCTTTTGCTTTACTTTATATCTTTATAGCTTTATATATCTTTAAAGATAAACCTCTTTTTGGTTAGTCTTCTGATTGTCTTTATGTTTCCTGCACTCTAAGTTTGAAAAAATGGAGTAATGTAGAACATAGTATGTGGCAATTCACTATCACTAGTTGTAGGGACCACATTAGTGAAAATATTGGTTTCCTTTGCTCTTTGGTATTTATTAGTCTTTAAAGCTCCTCCTTAATTCACACCATCTTTAAGACTGATGGTAATTTCTTTATTTTGTATAGGATTCCTGCATCCTAAAGGAAAATTAAGCTTGGTTGCAGTATAGCTACATTCTAGATCAATTCTGATATAATAGCTCCTTTGGACTTTGTACACTGACCTCCTCTGTCCCTTGCCCTTACCTATTAGGTCAGTAAATATTACTCTAAGACTCTGCTCAAAATGCCTTAATGAATTGCCTTGCCCTTGTCCTCCTTAAGGTAACTATTCTAGACCAGATCAGTCATGAGAAAATCTCCAATCTGTGTTTTCAGCAAAACACTGAAAATTTGAATCTATTTTAGTATCAGTTCTGGAGTTCTATTCTTTTCTTTCTTTTTTTCTTTATCTTTTTAAATTTATTTAAGTAATCTCTACACCTAGTGGGGGGCTCACGAATTCACAACCTAGAGATCCAGTCACATGCTCTAGTGACAGAGCCAGGTACCCCAACCCTCAGCGTCTTGAATTGGATTTGGATCCAATTTTTGCAACTCCAGTGCCAGACAGAAAAACAAATGTTTCTTCACTTGACTTGGATGCCTGCATTGACCCGGAATTTTATTGTCCCCTGGGAAAAAAAAACACTTACCTAGCTAGGGTTAACAATCTACTAATTTGACCTCGTTGAAATACTCTAATACCAAGGGTAGACATGTTAGACTTACTTCTGAGAGTAAGGAAACATTTCAAAGTAACTTCACAATTGTAGCATAATCAGGGCATAGAGGTATGTGTTTGTGTACATATGTAGGAAAAAGTAGTCCATATCTTGGTTTTTGTGATCAACTTTTGTTATTTGCCTTAACTTGTTAAGACTTTATGAGTTCTATTTGTAGCTATCTGGGCCAGAAACCAGAACTATTTGTGTTTAAATACTATTGCTATTCTGTGCACAGTTCCAAGGTTGTAGTATTTTCTCTTAAGCATTTATCTCCTTCCCATCCACCAAAAGAAAAGTTTATAAAGTCTAACAAAGCAGAAGAAATAATGCAATTATATATTAAAAGGTTTTAAAAATAATTATTTGGGAGTCTGTATGGATCTTTATAACTAAAGATTAAAAACTAAAAATTCTTTCCTGAATTACCAAGACATTTTCTGATACTCTCAAATTGATTCCATAGTTTTATAATACATAATGACTAAACTGTCCATTTTTATAGTGTTGATAGACCAACTCAGAATTATTTAATGGCCCCAAACTCAGATGAGACCTCAATTACCAGACACTCTTCAAATATCCATTGCAGAGTTATCATAGGATACATATTTTGTCCTCTGAGGGCCACCAATTGGCTTGCTATTGACACAAATCTTTGTTTAATCATCTTTCAAGAAACTTTATTCCAAGATGATATTGTCAAGGAAACTGATAAATAAGGAAACTAATTTATATATAAGATAGCATAAAATTATTAATTTGCTTTAAGGAATTGTCATTCAGAAATGATTTTCTACGCGAAAGTAAATTTTTAACCTATGCAGAAGTCAGAAACTGAAGTCTAAAAACTTTTTTCAATGTATTAATAAATAATGCCAACTATGCATTAAGTGATTAGTATCTGATAATATATTGCTGTTCTCTATTTTAGGTGTGGAAATTAAAACAACACAACTATTTTGACTGGGGATTTGATCAAGCAAATGCTAAGAAGGTATTTATAGTGATTTATAAAATATCTAAGGGGTTCCTGGATGGCACAGTTGGTTAAGTATCTGACTTTTGGTTTTGGCTCAGGTTGTGATCTCAAGTTCATGAGATCGAGCCCTGCTTCAGGCTCCATGCTCAGAGTAGAGTCTGCTTGGGATTCTCTCTCCCTTGTATTCTCTCTGCCTCTCCCACTTGTATTCTCTCTCTCTCTCTCTCTCTCTCTCTCTCTCTCTCTCGCTCTCTCTAAAATAAATATATAAATCTTTTTTAAAAACCTGAACATTGTTATTAGAGAATCTAAACCATTTTCCTTTCTTTAACCAGGGATTACTTAAGCCAGTCAGAGTAATGGGGAACAATTCTGTCCTCAAGATCATAAAAGAAAACAGTGTCTTACTTATTTCTGATACCAAATAAAGTATCTATTCTTTTTAACTCCTCCCTAATATCCTCAGTCCCTCTTCTACATTTTTCTCTAGCCTTAGAGATACTAAAATAAGTTATTTCGGATCTTCAGTTTTCTGAGACATAGGCAAAAACTTTCTTTTTTTCTTTTCTTTTTTTTTTTTTTTTTTAATATTTTACTTAGGAGAGACACAGAGAGAGGCAGAGATGTAGGCAGAGGGAGAAGTAGGCTCCCTGCAGGAAGCCCAATGTGGGACTCAATCCCAAGATCCCAGGATCATGTCCTGAGCTGAAGGCGGAGGAACAATCATCAAGCCACCCAGACATCCCCCAAAACAATTTTAGATCCACCTAGCAATCAGGAACTAGGTCTACAACATACATGAGTTCAGTTGGAAATGAACCCTAGAGTTTCTTTAACCAGAAGAATCCTGTTAAGAAAAAATTTCAAGTGAGAGTATCACTTCAGGAATAAAGCACCTGAAGACTTGAGGGAGAGAAAGAAAGATACTAGCTTTTCTAGACAAATCAAGTGACTGGCAATCAGCCCCTGACATGACAGTCTGATCACCCTTGCATTTGCTACCTTTACCTACATAAAACTTTGTCATTATATTTCTTTGGAACAAACATTTTCTTCTCTTATTTTGTCTAGAGATGCTTGCTTAATTGCTTACTTTTTCCTGCAGGGAATGATGATGCTTTGATATTTGCTTAATTTTTTTTTTAAGATTTTATTTATTTATGAGAGACAGACACAGGCAGAGGGAGAAGAAGGCTCTGTGCAAGGAGCCTGATGCGGGACCTGATCCCGGATTCTGGGATCATGCCCTAAGCCCAAGGCAGATGCTCAACCACTGAGCCACCCATGTCCCAATATTTGCTTAATTTTTAGAAGAATTCTGTCACTTATGTTTGCTTGATTATGTATGAATTCGTTTATTAGAAATCTTGAGCCTATATTAGATACTGTACTCTGAGATATGGTTAAACTTGTCTTTACATTTTTAACTATTAATAGTTAAAATACTTCATTTGTGTAAAATGGGAAAACAAAAGCTTGCAAATTACATCTGGAAGCCCAAAAGACACACTTTGAAATGCAGCTCATATTTCTAAAACCTTCCCGTGTAACTTATTTACCCTATCATCAATAGGAAGAGTTTTACATTTTGTTTTGTGGAGACTGGTTAATGGGAGAGTTCTTAGACCGTCTAGAGAAAGTGAGGATGTACAAAAAGCCAGGCCAAAGCTGGTTAGAAGGAAGCAGTTCGGGAAGCCTGGGTGGCTCAGCATTTGAGCACCTGCCTTCTACCCAGGGCGTGATCCTGGAGTCCCGAGATCCAGTCCCTCATTGGGCTCCCTACATGGAGCCTGCTTCTCTCTCAGCTTATGTCTCTGCCTCTCTGTATCTCTCTCATGAATAAATAAATAAAATCTTTAAAAAAAAAAAAAAGAAGGAAACAGCTCGTATCTATGAGATAGCCTCTCTTAACATATAAAGCAGTAAAATATCTTGTTGCTGTTGAATACTTTGTAATAGCACATGATTTTATAGCTGTTCTAATCCAAGATTTTCAGTTTTACACTGGGTGAAAGCAGCGAAAGACCTTTCATCAGTCAAGAGTGAAGGAACCAGCTATGAGGATAACATTTGGAAAATAGGATAAAAAGATAAACCCTTAACTGCTATTAAAGTTTTCATCAGCTTTGTATAATACATAACTCCATCTGCTATCCCTAAATTTATCGGATATAGATACCAGATAACAAATACCACCAGACACAGTAAGATTATTGGATACCAAAAGCAGAGAATCTTTTCGTTTGTTTTCTTACTTGTTCCTTTTAGCCAAAAGGAAAATTCTTGCAGTATGTTATTTGTTTTGCACTTTGTATGTATTCCTTTGCATTGTTTTGCATTCATTAAACACTGAGAAGGGACACCTGGGTGGCTCTCGTCAGTTGGGCATCTGATTTCTGCTCAGGTCATGTTCTCAGGTTTGTGGGATCGAGCTTGGCATCTGGCTCTGTGCTCAGGACAAAGTCTGCTTGGGACACTCTCTTCACTCTCCCCTTACTCTTCCTCCGCTCATGAGCCACTATCGCTCCTGCACTTTCTCTCTCTCTCTCTCTCTCTCAATATGTGAATAAATAAAAAAATCTTTAAATACTGAGAGTACAAAAATGTAGAACAGAAAAGGCATCAAGTTCAAGATTTTTGTGGTCATTAATGCCAGTAATAACAACATCACTAGTCAAAAAAATAATTTGTGAATTTTTTGAACCTGAAATGCAATAAGAATTTAAATTAAGCTGAGTTTGAAGATAAATTTTTTTTAAGATTTTATTTATTTATTCATGACAGACAGAGAGAGAGAGGCAGAGACACAGGCAGAGGGAGAAGCAGGCTCCATGCAAGGAGCCCAACATGGGACCCGATGTATGGTCTCCAGGATCATACCCTGGGCTGAAGGAAGCGCTAAACCGCTGAGCCACTGAGGCTACTCTAAAGATAAATTCTTGATTTGGGAAGTTGACTTGTGACTAAATCAACCATGATTTGAATCTAGCTTGGTGTAAAGCATTAAGGTTAAAATAAGTTATATTCCATATCATGTTTGTTTGTTTATCATAATTGAATGGTTATCACGTGATATTACATGCTTTGAACCTTTTTCTGTTTCAACAACAAAAAATTGGCTTCAGGCACAGGAGATCAGTTTCTGTGTATAACTATTACTGAGATAATTTCAGATTAAAAGCATATTTGAGATATGTGCTGCTGCCCATGAAGAGCTTGTAATTTAGAAGTGATGATTTGTACTATAAGTGAATTTTTACAGTTTAACCCGTGTATATGTGCATGTATTTGTGGATGGCACACACCTGCATAACCCAAGAAGTTGAATGACCTGCAGTGAGGCAAACATGAATTCTAGTCAAGAAAATCTCAAAAGAGATGGGAAGAAACCTCTCCCATTTTTTGGTTCATGATATAATACATTTTAAAACTAATAGTATGGGCTGCCCAGGTGGTTCAGTGGTTTAGCGCCGCCTTCAGCCCAGGGTGTGATCCTGGAGACCTGGGATCGAGTCCCACGTCGGGCTACCTGCATGGAGCCTGCTTCTCCCTCTGCCTGTGTCCCTGCCTCTCTCTCTCACTGTGTCTCATGGATAAATAAATAAAAATCTTAAAAAAAAAAAAAGGGGGGGGGAAAGATCTCATTTGAAAAAAAACTAATAGTAAAATATTTTAAACCTATGTAATTTTATTCATGTAGGTATTAAAATTTACAAAATGAAGAAATTTATCCAGTAATTGACATTGCTCCAAAAACTAGTTATTCATAAGCATTCTCTTAGGTTTATTTTTATTTGTGTGTTTATTTAAATAGGCCTTCTACATGAGTTTCCACTGCTATAACTGTTTCATTATATTATAAACATTGTTACACACATTTAGAAAATAAATGACATATATATTTGGTTTTTTATTATTATTATTATTTTTTAAAGATTTATTTATTTATTTATGATAGAGAGAGGCAGAGACACAGGAGGAGGGAGAAGCAGGCTCCACGCCGGGAGCCCGACGCGGGACTTGATCCCGGGACTCCAGGATCACACCCTGGGCCAAAGGCAAGCGCTAAACCGCTGAGCCACCCAGGGATCCCAACATATATATATTTGAATACTTAGAATTTTCCGTTTGTTTTCTTAAACTTAGAAATGGGGGTAAAGTTTATCCCTATCAGTCTTTCACTTACTTGGTAAATAGTTCCTGCCTATTTAGAAACATCTGTCTTAATCCCGTATATAAAGTCCTAAGGCTGTAAACCAACTCTTTTGTTAATTGTAGTAACAACCTCATAAGATTTTTGGGGTGTTTAAATTAAATCTATATGAAGAGGGATGCCTGGGTGGCTCAGCGGTTCAGTATCTGCCTTTGGCTCACTGCATGATTCTGCAGTCCCAGGATCGAGTCCCACGTCGGGCTTCCTGTGGGGAGCCTGCTTCCTCTGCCTATGTCTCTGCCTCTGTCTCTCTCTCTGTGTCTCTTCATGAATAAATGAACAAAATCTTTTTTAAAAATTAATAGATTTATATGAAGAATTTAGAAAGTTGGGGCACCTGAGTGGTTCAGTTGGTTGGGTGTCCAACTCTTGGTTTTGGCAGGGGTCTTGATTTCAGGGGTGGTGAGATCAAGCCCTGTGTTGGGCTCTCTGCTGAGAGGAGAATCTGCTTGAGGATTCCCTTCCCCCCTCAAATAAGGAAATCTTTTTAATTTTTTTAAAGATTTATTTATTTGGGAAAGAGAAAGCAGGGGAAGGACAGAGGGAGAGCGAAAGAATCTCAAGCAGACTGCCTTTTGAGCACAGAGCCCCATGTGAGGCTTGATCTCATGACTCTGAGATCATGACCTGAGCTAAAATCAAGAGTCAGTCACTTAACAACTGACCCATCCAGGCACCCTAATAAATAAAATTTTTTTTTAATTTTTATTTATGATAGAGAGAGAGAGAGAGGCAGAGACACAGGCAGAGGGAGAAGCAGGCTCCATGCACCAGGAGCCCGACGTGGGATTCGATCCCGGGTCTTCAGGATTGCGCCCTGGGCCAAAGGCAGGCACCAGACTGCTGCGCCACCCAGGGATCCCTAAATATTTTTTTTGAAAAGAGAATTTAGAAAGTGCCAGGCACACAGCAAGCAGTTTAAAAAAAAAAAAAAAAAGGTTAGTGTTGTTGTGTTTTGTATTTTAATGTATATAAGAAAATACAGCCCCCATGATATCGTCAAACCAGTTTATACACACAGATTTGGCTCTGACTAGTTCCTACAGCCTTACCTTGTAGATTTCCAAGAATTTCCTCAGTTTTTACCAGAATTCTTAGAGGGAACCAAAATAACTCTTCTTCCTTCATTTTAGGACTTTTTAAATCCATACAGTCCATATGAACACAGCAGGAATTTCTCTGTCAGCATTCTGCTTCTGAATTCCCCCACCTGCTGATCCCAAGTGAAAATAGTATTTGTTTTACTTGCATCTTTATTCCATTTGTCTGATAAAATTGCTTGAATTTTTTTCTGGTTTTACCTGCAAAATTAGGAGATAAATAGAGGAATGGAAGAAAAAAAGATGCTGTGCGTGCAAACATTTAGGTGTCCTTCACGTTATTACAACCAGGTACTTTTCCTTAACAGTAGGAATAGCTTGGTGTACATCTGCCCAGGGAAAATTCTATCATCTAGACTTGTGGAAGATTAAGTGCTAATTTATATGAAGAGATAAAAATTTCATGGAAATTTAAGTGGGAACTGTGCTGTCTGTACCAGTGTGGCATCATATCACCTATGCTACCTTATTTTTTTTGTGAATATGCTTTATCTCAACTATATTTTTTTAAAAAACTCAACAGTAATATCTTACATCTCTGAAAACCATAGAGCACAGTATCCTGACGGTGGTAGGCTAACAAGTATTTGTTGATGATGCTAGAAGTGGAAGTGACAAACTCAGGGAATTGATGAAAATTGGAAGTAAGTAGTGAATATTGTGACTAGGATATCTGGGTCATTAGAGTGATTGAGAAAAGAAGGCAAATATAATAAATCAGCATATGAAAAACATAATAGAATGAGTTGCTTCTTGATTTTTATTTCATGTTTTCTTATTATGTCACATAAAGGTTTTTAACGGGGGGTACAATTTTTTATGTGATAGGGTATACAAAATACAGGGTTTTTTTTTTTAAGATTTATTTATTTTTAGAGAGTACATGCATGCACATGAGCAGGGGGAGGGGCAGAGGGAGAGAATCTTACAAGCAGACTCCCTGCTGAGTGCTGAGCCTGATGAGGGTCTTGATATCAAGACCACTGAGATCATGACCTGAGCTGAAGCCAGGAGTTGGACATATAATCAACTGAGCCACCCAGGAACCCCACAAAATACAGTCCTAAATTAAGATTGTTAATCTCCAGTCTTGATTTTTTTGTGGCTTATGAATGTAGGACAGCATTTTATTTGGGGGTTATCTTTGATGTCCATAAACCTTTATGATGCCATAGTTAGGCCTGGATGTCTATTGAACTATTTCTGAAAGAAGCTGAGAGCTTTAGAAGGAATTGTATATGAGATTATGAGAGCATAGGAATAGTTGAGATTCTGAGTGCTCTTAAGCTGGTTACAGATAACATTTTGGAACACATATTAACTTATGGTGATGTGTGGGATCCCTGGGTGGCTCAGCGGTTGACCATCTGCCTTGGGCTCAGGGTGTGATCCTGGAGTCCCGGGATCGAGTCCCATATCAGGCTCCCTGCATGGAGCCTGTTTCTCCCTCTGCCTATGTCCCTGCCTCTCTCTCTCTCTGTGTCTGTCATGAATGGATGAAGTGAAATCTTTAAAAAAAAAAACAAACTTATGGTGATGTGAAAAGAAAGTAACAGTAGGAGAACCACCTTAAGAATCAAAATTTAAGGGACAACTGGGTGGCTCAGCGGTTGAGCATCTCTCTTTCACTCAGGGTGTGATCCTAGGATCTGGGATGAGTCCCACATCAGGCTCTCTGTGAGGAGCCTGCCTCTCCCTCTGCCTGTGTCTCTGCCTCTCTGTCTCCCATGAATAAATAAATGAATCTTTAAAAAAAAAAAAAAAGAATCAAAACTTAAGAGAATTGTAGCTATAACCCAGGGCCTCAGTCCATTAGTTTATCTATTCATATTCATTTCTGACAGTTCGGAGATGTTTCTTATTAGCTAAAGGGAAAGAAGGATATAGATATGTGTATTTTAAAGATCTGAAAACAAAACACTACATTTTTCTAGTGGAAAGGAAATAGTGAAATAGAGAAAAAAATATAGATCACTTAATATTTTGGCATATGTGCCTCCCTTTTTCTTTCCCTAATATATGCTGATACATTTTCTATTTTTATATGTTTTATGATCTGTTTTATACTTTCTGATTAATACTTCCTTGTGTCATTAAATAGTCTATATAATTTTAAATGACCACATAGACTATCTTCAAACCTCAAGATGCAGTAGGGTTTAAGTAATCTATTCCAGGGCATTTAGATTTTTATAAGTATTTTCTGTTAATACAGCATTGAACGTTTCTGTAGATAAATCTTTCCACATATTCCTGATTATTTCCTGAGAATAGATTGTTAGAAAGGGGCTTGCTGGTCAAACAATATACTTTTTAAGTAATCTCTATACCCAACATAGAGCTCGAATTTACAACTACAAGATCAAGAGTTAACATGCTCTACTGACTGAGCCAGCTAGGTGCCCCAATGTACGTTTCTTTCAAGGCTATTGATAGATATAACTGAATTCTTCTTTTATAATACCATATTAAGATAATAAACATTTACATTAGGGTTCTGAATGTAGTCAAATTCTTTGTCTTATAGCATTCCAACTTAACTCTATGGTCAATAGATAAAACCCAATTGTGTAAAAGGAGACAAGTTTTTATTTATCAATTTTTATTAAAATGAGAGTATTCTAAGTAAGATATATTAATTATGTGATTTTGTTGTAGTGTTTACACCAAAATGAGACTATGTAGTTTGAATGCTGCATTTTTTTATATGTTGAAATGTGTTTTTGTTTTGTTTTGTTTTTTACTTTTAGCCACATAAAAAGGATCCTTAACAGTCATTTCTCAACAATTATATAGTCAACTGATGTAACAATGGTACTAATATTGGGACGAAGACTAAACAGAGAGGATCTCGGGGTGCGTGATTCCCCAGCAACTAAGCGTAAAGTTTTTGAAATGGACCCTAAATCTCTGACAGGCCATGAGTTTTTTGACTTCTCTTCAGGATCATCCCATGCTGAAAATATACTCCAGATATTCAATGAATTCCGAGACAGCCGCTTATTCACAGACGTCATCATTTGTGTGGAAGGCAAAGAATTTCCTTGCCATAGAGCTGTTCTCTCAGCCTGTAGTAGCTACTTCAGAGCTATGTTTTGTAATGACCACAGAGAAAGCCGAGAAATGTTGGTTGAGATCAATGGTATTTTAGCTGAAGCTATGGAATGTTTTTTGCAGTATGTTTATACTGGAAAGGTAAAGATCACTACAGAGAATGTACAGTATCTTTTTGAAACATCAAGTCTCTTTCAGATTAGCGTTCTTCGTGATGCTTGTGCCAAGTTCTTAGAGGAGCAACTTGATCCTTGTAACTGCTTAGGAATCCAGCGCTTTGCTGATACCCATTCTCTCAAAACACTCTTCACAAAATGCAAGAATTTTGCATTACAGACGTTTGAAGATGTGTCCCAGCATGAAGAATTTCTTGAGCTTGACAAAGATGAGCTTATTGATTATATTTGTAGTGATGAACTTGTTATTGGTAAAGAGGAGATGGTTTTTGAAGCCGTCATGCGTTGGGTCTATCGTGCTGTTGATCTGAGAAGACCACTGTTACATGAGCTCCTGACACATGTGAGACTCCCTCTTTTGCATCCTAACTACTTTGTGCAAACAGTTGAGGTGGACCAATTGATCCAGAATTCTCCTGAGTGTTATCAGCTGTTGCATGAAGCAAGACGGTACCACATACTTGGGAATGAAATGATGTCCCCAAGGACTAGGCCACGCAGGTGAGAAAATGATTTATAAATGAACTACAACATAATTATCAAAAGTTTTTATTTTTAAAATATTTTTTAGCCTCCTGAGTGAAATCTCAGAGTAGTCATATGTATTGTCTATGTGTGGCTTTATATAATCTATAATACTGTTTTTGGGTTATGTAAATGATTAAAATGTCTCTCCCTCCCCCCCTAAAAGTTTTTTTTAAAAAGTCTCTCCCAATGAAGACTAGATTCAACAGTAGCATTCTTTGTTATTCTGAGCTATGAAGGGGTATTCCAAAGTGTCTTTACAACTATGAATGCCTCAACGTATTTCTGCTTATTTCTCTTAATCTTTGTAGGATCTCAAATCACTCCACTTTTCTTTCCAAAGAGTCTTTGGAGATAAAGTAGACTAAAGACTTTAGTAGACTCTCTTGTACTGCCTCTACATATAAAAAACAATTGGCTGGGTTGCCCTCGAGGCTAAGTTGGTTAAGTATCTGACTCTTGATTTTGGCCTCAGGTCATGACCTCAGGGTCCTGAGATCAAGCCCCACATTGGACTCTGCATTCTGAGGTCTGAGATTTTCTGTCTCTCTAAAATAAAATTAAATTAAATAAATAAGTAGATGAATAGGCAAATTCACAGACTTCCTTCTATCCTAACAGATGACTTGAAGTATAAAGGTGAAGTAAGTAAGCTGGTATATATTGGGTGGATTTTGGATGTAAAACCCAGGTTTCAGATCTCTTCTTATTGCCACAGTTATTTAATGTCAATGTCAATTTTTAAATTTTTTTCTGATTTTTTTTTTTTAAGATTTTATTCATTTATTCATGAGAGAGAGAGGCAGAGACATAGGCAGAGGGAGAAGCAGGCTCCATTCAGGGAGCCTGATGTGGGACTCGATCCCGGGACTCCAGGATCACGCCCTGAGCCAAAGGCAGGTGCCCAACTGCTGAGCCACCCAGGCATCCCAATTTTTTTCTGATTATATAAATTATATTATTAAAGAGAATTTGGAAAATTTATGTTTAGAAGTAGGAATTTAGTTCAGTATTATACTTGTATTATGGTACATTATTTCAGTAAAACATACAGATTTTAATTCATAAGCTATAGAAAAATAATATCCATGTCTTAATATTTGAAGGAGTAATATTAAATGTACTATACTATGAATAAGCAAGAAATGGCTATTGTGAGAAATAAATTGTGGTAAAAACATACAGCATAAATGTATCATCTTAACCAATTTTTTTAATAAATTAATTTTTTATTGGTGTTCAATTTACCAACATACAGAATAACACCCAGTGCTCATCCCGTCAAGTGTCCCCCTCAGTGCCCGTCACCCATTCACCCCCACCCCCCGCCCTCCTCCCCTTCCACCACCCCTAGTTCATTTCCCAGAGTTAGGAGTCCATCTTAACCAATTTTAATAAGTGTACCACTCAGTAGTGTTAAATATATTCACGTTGTTGTGAAACTGGTGATTTTTATTTTCTCATATTATCTCCACTTTTCCTATAAATTTACTAGAACATAGCTCTCAAACCAAAATTTTAGCTTTGATATTGATTATTATTGTTTTGGAATGTGATTAAAATTCAGCATATTATGAAGATAGCACCTCTTTAAAATCTACACTAGTTTGAATATAGCAAGATTTAGTCTGTTTCCTCATATCTAAAATGAGAATGATGATAAATAGTATTTATCTCACAGGCTCTGCCACTGAAACTATTAAATGCAATCATCCTTAAGGTACTTGTCATAGAAAGTGGTGCATAGAAGTACTTAAAAATTATTATTTATGTAGTGTAACATAAGTCTGACTGACTTTAAGAAAACTCCAAGAGCACCTGGTTGACACTGCTAGTTAAGTGTCTGACTTTTGGTTTCTGCTCAGGTCCTATCAGGATCTTGAGATCAAGCCTGGCGTGGGGCTCCTCTCTCAGCTCACAGTCTTCTTAAGACTCTCTTTCCCTCTTCCTCTGCCCCTCCCTCCCCTACGTGAACATTCATGCACATGGTCTCCCTAAAATAAATTTTAAAAACTCCCAGTACTTAACAGGCTGATCTGTTTATAAATTGGATACGATATTGGGTGATTATTACAAAAACTAATGTAATATTTCTTTGTATTTGGGTTACAGTGCATGTTTTTCTTCAAAGTCAACTGAATTTAGTGAAAATAATTGCTTTATAAGAAAAATATACTTTCAGTTTTTTAACAAAGGACAGAAAACATTTAATTTTCTTATATAAATATATTAATTTTTTAAGTTGTTACTTTTTTAAGGACTATTAAGAAAATTGAGTATTTTTTTTCCAAACAAAATCCCCTTACAGCAGACAGAATGGTTTTGGGTCAAACAGGACTGATAATAACTTTCCTGTGTATATCTCCTATATATACATAGGATTAGAATTAGAGACCAAGGAATATATGTTATAAAATCAAATGAAGTTATTTATTATTAACATTATTTATAAAAATATGACCTAAATGAAATAAGATTGCAGCCTAAAGGTCTTTAGGCTGGGGCACCTGGATAGCTCAGTCGTTTAGGCATCTGCCTTTGGCTCCTATCATGGCCCAAAAGTCCTGGGATTGAGCCCCGCATCATGCTCCCTCCCCAAGCAGGGAGCCTGCTTCTCCCTCTCCCTCTGCCCTTCCCCCTGCTTGTAAGCTCTGGCTCTATCTCTCTCTCTCTCTCAAATAAATCTTTAAAAAATAAAAAGTTAATTAGGCCTACATAATAAATAGATAATTTTTCAATTCACTTATATATATATTTTTAAAGATTTTATTGATTTATTTCAGGGGGGGGGGAGAGAGAGAGAGAGAGTATGCGCAAGCATACATGCACATAAGAGCAGGAGGAAGGAGAAGCAAACTCCTTGCTGAGCAGGAAGCCAATGTGGGGCTCCATCCCAGGACACTGGGATCGTAACCTTATCCCAAGGTAGACGCTTAACTGAGCCACCCAGGCACCTCTAATTTTTTTTTTAAGATTCTATTTATTCATAGAGACAGAGAGAAAGAGAGAGAGGCAGAGACACAGGCAGAGGGAGGAGAAGCAGGCATCATACAGAGAGTCCGCCGTGGGACTCGATCCAGGGTCTCCAGGATCACGCCCTGGGCTGCAGGCGGCGCTAAACCCCTGTGCCACTGGGGCTGCCTAGGCACCCCTAATTTTATTTGATTTGTAAAAATGTATTTTTCATCCAATTTCTAAGGAAATCAATCCATTTCATACAATGAAACACATCTATATATATGATTGCGATGTCATCTTTCTTTAGGGGGCAAGTAGGAAAAAACCAAACTATAGTTACATGGAATTTGCAGACTATTGTAATAAGTATAATAGAAGATATCTCTTTTATGTAGATATTGCATGAGGAATGTAAAGAGAAATCCTTTATTTTACAACTCTACCATCACCTCCTATTCCTTATATTCCTTCACTTACCTGTTACTGCATATTAGTACCAATCACTAGGAATTTGATTATCTGAACAATGTGTATTGTTTGTCAGGTTTCCCTCTTTCTGAGAAACTCCAAACTTCTTTGAAAGAGTAGTCATGTCTCTACTTCAACTACAGTTCACTCTTTTGACTTTCTCTGCAGTCACTCTACTGAAACTCCTCTCAATCAGGCCATCATTCACCTTCTATTTGTTGTTAGCCTCTTTTCAGTCTTTATTCACCTTGATCTCTCTTTAGGAATTGACTTTATCAATCACTTTACTTTTTCTTGGAACTCCTCTATTAGCTTCCAGAACATCATTTTCCTCATGATCCTCTTTTCCAGCTGCTCTTTTTCCATTTGATGGTTCTATATCTAGCCTTCGAAATGTTGATGATCCCCTTGGTTCACATCTCTCTGTCATGCCTTATATCACATCTTCCTAGGTGTTCTCATCTACTTTCTTGGTTTTAATTACCATGCATGCTATTGACTATCAAACCTATAACTCCAGTCCAGATTTTTTTTCATTTATTCATCTACTCATTCAACCAATTTTTTAAAAATTTTATTTGTCTGTTTATTTTTAGTTTAGGATGTGTCTTTAAAACAGTAACATAGTCAAAATAGCATCCCACTTAAAGTTAATATTTCTTTCATATTAACTAATACCCAGTCCATAGTCATATTTCTCCAATCTTTTGCAAACTGTTCTTTAATGAACCTTGATCCAATCCAGGACTACTCATTGCATCTGATTATTCCCATGAAGTCTCTTTTATTCCAGAACAGTTTGTTTTTCATGATTTTAACTTGCTGAAGGGCAAGTTACCCAGAAAAATATTTCACCTTCTATATTAGGTTGCTTCCTTATGCTGCCACTTAGCTGAATTTAGCTGTGTTTCCTGGAAACTAGAAGTTAGCTCTACAAACTTCAGCTTGATGGAGACAAGTTAAATATTTTTGACTAGAGTTCATCCTAGGTAATGTGTATATTGCATTGCATTGCATTAGGAGGCACAGCCTATCTGGTTGTCCCACGATTGCTGATGCAAAGATTAACTCTAGATTGGGATGATAACAGTCTGTTCCCATCACTGTATAGTTAGGTCATAGTCCTCACATCAGCCAGTATTTCTTCAGTGTTTACCCTGTGCCAAGTGTTGTCCAGAGTTCAACCCATACTGAATATTCTACCTATATGTACCCAAATGTCTCTTAAATAAGAGAGAAACACCAACATACATTATATTAAAAACAGAGTATGATTGCAGTTACCTAGAAAGAGGATATGAGCCAATTGAAGAGCACAAAAGCTTTGATAATCTGCACTACCAGTTGTAAACCCTTGGGAGAAAAAACAATAGAGACCAATCATAGGAATGCTAGGAATAGTTGTCTTTTATTGATATCTATTATGCAACTTTAAGAATAGTAAAGCTGGGGATCCCTGGGTGACTCAGCGGTTTAGCGCCTGCCTTCAGCCCAGGGCGTAATCTGGGAGTTCCAGGATCGAGTCCCACATTGGGCTCCCTGCATGGAGCCTGCTCCCTCTGCCTGTGTCTCTGCCTGTGTGTGTGTGTGTGTGTGTGTGTGTGTGTGTGTGTGTCATGAATAAATAAAATCTTAAAAAAAATAGTAAAGCTTAGGAATAGTTGTCTTCCTATTAATACTATTATGCAACTTTAAATCTCTACTAATACATAATGCTATTTTTTAATAAACAAGTACAAGTATCATGATGTGTTCAGAGTAATGGCTTCAGAATCAGGTGTGGTCTAGGATCTGGCTCTGCAAATAGTTATTCCATGACCTTAGGCAAAACATTGCAACTTCTTTATCCATTTTCTCATCTGTAAAATAAGCATAATACCACCTCATAAAATTGTGAGGATTGGAAATACAGTATGAAAAGAACATAAGCTGGTATTTCACACAAAAATGCACATAAAAATTTTTGCTTGTTTCATAAGGAAAATAATCAAAATTTTTACAGAATAGGAAATGTAGTTTGAAAGACAAGAAATACTTGATATCAAATGGTTTAAGAATAATTTGTTCATCCCTGTGGAAAAAAATTGACACTCTTTGCCACATTCCATTGAGCAATAGAGATAGCTAAGATTTAGTAAGCTTGTCATTTTGAGATTGGAGTCAATTAAGTACTTTTTTAATACCTTCTACTATCTCTTATCTAACAGTCAGTTAATATATAATGAAAATTATGTCCATAATGAAGATGAGGTTCAAGTTCCTATTGGAAGCCAAACCATATTATAATTAATATTATTTTTAAGAGCCAAAGGTAGAAGCTCAACTGTTGAGCCACCCAGGTGCCCCTGTTCTAATCCCTCTTAAGAATGATAATCTACTGTATTATAGGATGCATAGTTTTACCATTTTTCTACATGTTCATTTTTAACTTAAACATTTTTCATAGAAGTATACATTAAGTCTCCCTCATCCGACCCTTGATATATCAGTTCTCCCCAAAGGATACCAGCATTAGGAGTTTTCTGAACTCTTTAAAAATATTCTTTGCATATGGAAGTAGATGTGTATATATACACACACAAATACTTCCCTACTTTTTTACTTCCCTACTTTTTTGTATGCATTCAGTTTTCCACCTTGTTTTCATGATTTTTAAGTGTCTTGGAGATTATTCCACATCAAAGCATACAGATATTTAAGTTAGTCTACTCAGCATATTCTCTTACTATGGACAAATCACTAAGTGGGAAGCCAAGTTTTCAAAGGTTGTTGGCAAGCATGGAATCCAAACAAAGGGAGTTAATAGATCTTTAGAACTGGAGTCCTCTCAGCTAGTAAAACTTGAGGAAGTCTCATCTCATCCACCATAAAAATCTTCTTACCAAAGAACCAGTAATGTTCAAGTTAACTAAGATTCTCTTTCCCTTAGACAAGAACTTGAATAGGCACAAGAGATGTTTGCCTCTGTGATTATTTACTTTTTCATTCATTTACTTATTGCATCTATGATTAACCAATCCCTCTTTTTGATACATAGTTCTTTAGATCTATTCATACAGTTTAGTAACTGTCATACCTTACAGACTAGAGAGCCATGTAGTCTCTTTAGGGCTTCAAGTCTCATATTTCTATTTTATTTTGTTTGATGGGTCAGTTTTCAGATATTTTGAGTCTTGGAGTGGTGAGTAGATCATATTACTAATATCTTTCCCTTCTTTCTTCCAATATCCTGCTATATTGAAACATTGCCTTTCCTATTGTGCTTTTTAAGTATGTTCAGTTATTCTTCTCATTAACCATTAACCATTGCACTGACTCCTTTTATTAATGAGAGTTAGTTTAGCAGTTCACCTGTCTCTGGCATATATTGCATTAATAATAAGTAGGTCTGTTATGTCAGCCAACAAGTCCTGTATTTTGCCTTTTGAGATTCTTAACTGAATCTCATAATTATATGTTTTGTTCATACAGTTTAGAATGTCCTATGGATTTATAATTATTTTATCTTTCATATAATGTAACCATTCTAACACAGCAAATATTTTATCACATCAAAATCAGAATTTTCACTTTAAAGCATTAATAAAATAAAGTAACATTCATTTTAAAAAACAGATTGAATGGGCTATCCAGACTTTTATTCATCTTACGCTATCATCTTGACTGCCTTTTTTTCCAGGTGCTATTATCAGCTGGAGTGACCTGTTTCTTTTAAGGCAATCTTTTCCCTGCTTTAGATAAAAATTTTTCCAAGCTCAAGAAATAATTTTTTTGGAGAGAGACAGCATATGCATGCAAGCAGAGAGAGGGGCAGAGGGAGAAAAACTCAAGCAGACTCCACACTGAGCTGGCAGCATGACTCAGGCTCAATTCCACAACCCGAGATCATGACCTGAGCTAAGACCAAGAGTTGGACACTTAGCCAACTGAGCCATCCAGGCACCTCTAAAAATAACTTTTATTGGGTTAACAGTCTCTAATGAGAATACTAGACTTGTCTCTGATTTGGTTGCAAATAAGACCTTCAGTACAGGCAAAACTACAGTTTGTTGATCCTTTCAGATAAAAACACATTCCTGGTAGACACTGAAGTAATCCTTTATTTAGTGGGACCAATTGTTTTAGTCATTAGGTGTTTTGTTTTGTTTTTAGTCATTAGCTTTTTGTGCTATTTTCTCTTTTTGTTCCAAGGTACAAAAACAGACAATATATGCTTATTAAGCTAAGAAGTCTTGAAAAAGGCAAGCAAGTTTAAGCAAAAAGAAACCATAAAATAAATCAAATATGGGACGCCTGAGTGGCTCAGTTGGTTAAATGTCCCACTCTTGACTTTGGCTCACATCGTGATCTCAGGCTTTTGAGATTGAGCCCAGTGTGGAACCCCATGCTAGGGAGTGGAACCTGCTTAATATTCTCTCTCCTTTTCTCCCTCTGTCCCCCACACACTGCTCTGCCCTCTGTCTATAAGAAAACAAGAATTTAAAAATAAAATGTTATAAAGAAAGTGTAAAACAGTGGTTGAACCCCAATAACAGTGTTTAGCAACTTTTGTTTTGAGCAATTGATAAATAAGGCTTTGAGGAAAATAACATGAATTTGTTCAAGAAGTATTTTAAGTATAATTTTAGGAAATGATAACTTTTATGGAAAGAAGGAAAAGTTAATCATATCAAGTATCTGGTGTTATTCCTTATTTACTTTAATAGTTTCATTTTGCAATTATTTGGAAAATAGCATTGATAATATTTCAGTCCTTCTAATAAAGTTTTACTGTATACTAGATTAGGGTTATATGATTTACTGGGTTTACTACAAAAAAGTAGTTTTTATTGCATCTATGAACAAGAATCTGTACTACAATATATTTTTCTGATTTTATAATGGAAAAGTGTGCCTGGCATGGGACAGATGAATGATTATTAGCTGAAAAAGCTGTGAGTAAACATAGCTAAAATATAGTGTCTCTGTTAAAGTGGCATACCAGTATTGCTTAATTTTGATTTTTTTTCCTACTGTAATTGTGAAACATCATAGTGACTAAAACTACAAATCAGTATTCTGATGTGGTATTTTTTCCTTCCACATTTAAGTTAAGAGAAGAGGGATTGTTAGCATTTTGCTTCATGAAATTAAAATTGTAACAACCATAAAATGTAGTTACAGGAACTTTTCCACTTCAATTATATTTGTGACAAATTACAAAATCCAAAAATTTTAAAATTCCAGATTTTATATTGAGCCTTATGAGTAACAAAGAACCTGGATAAACTTTTAGTTTTTCCTTATCTATCTTAAATTTAAACTACAAAATAAAAAGTCTATTAATATAAACCTTAGGATTCTCTTAGTGCTCTAAATGTTTTTTCCACTCAAAAAAAATAGTCCATGCTCATTATCATTTTGAAAATTCGTGTTGATAGAAAAAAAGGAAGCCATACTATCTAGAGATATCATTAGCACCTTGGTATATTCTTTCCAGACACAATTTTTACATAGTATTGATCAGACCTTCTGTACAATTGTTTGTGTTGCTTTTTCCTTTCACATTCTTTGTTATAAACTCCGTTAACACTTTTAAGTGACTGCTCAGTGTTTTAATTCAGATTAGTTTAATTTACTTTAAAAATTATTTTAGGGATCCCTGGGTTGCGCAGTGGTTTAGCGCCTGCCTTTGGCCCAGGGCGCGATCCTGGAGACCCGGGATCGAATTCCACGTCGGGTTCCCGGTGCATGGAGCCTGCTTCTCCCTCTGCCTGTGTCTCTGCCTCTCTCTCTCTCTGTGTGTGTGACTATAAATTAATTAATTAATTAATTAATTAATTAATTAATTAATTTTAAAAATAGTTTCTGAACAAATAAATATACTTCTTTAAAGGGTACTTGGATTATACTATGAATTAATTTTTTTAGAACTAGCAATCCAGGGCACCTGGGTGGTTCAGTATGAACTCCAGGTCTTGGGATTGAGCCCCCAGCATTGGGCCCCTCTCTCTCTGCCCCTCCTCCTGCTCTTGCTCTCTCAAATAAATAAATAATATATTTTAAAAAAAAAGAACTAGCGATCTGATGAAAAAGCACCATTTTCCTACATTATCTGTGGCTATGCATATCTGAATTACTACAAGACTGCATTTGAAAGTTATTAATACTAGGATTCCAGTTTAGTTAGGTAGGGTCTTTGGACTGCTTTACAATTTTTAAGGCAGAACGCCATAGAAAAGAAAAGATCCATCCATAGGAATTTCTGTGGAAAATGATGTCACTAAGTCCCTTGCAAATGTTTGTTTTCAAAGTCATTGGCAGCCTGTATTATTTGGCACATGTTCAGAGAATAAACTGTTTATAATAGTGTTTTACTTTCTTTATGATAATGATATGTTTTTAGAGTTTTCAACAATCTTGAGTGTATTTTATTATTTATATATTCTTATAATAATTATTTTAGGTCAACTGGCTATTCTGAGGTGATAGTTGTCGTTGGAGGCTGTGAACGTGTTGGAGGATTTAATCTTCCATACACTGAGTGCTATGATCCTGTGACAGGAGAGTGGAAATCTTTGGCTAAGCTTCCAGAATTTACCAAATCAGAGTATGCAGTCTGTGCTCTAAGGAATGACATTCTTGTTTCAGGTAAATGGAGAATAATTACAGTAGCTACTTTTAATATGAACACAGCTTGGCTGTTTAAGTAGTAGTGTCTCAGAAGAAAACCGTGAAAGTGAATATGCCCACTTTCAGCAGAAGAGTTTATACAACAAATAAAACCAAGAATGACTTTTTTCTCTTAAAAACAGGCTCAAGATGATCCAGAGTAATTTATAAAATATCTGTCAGAAAAGTACCTTTAATCATATTTCAGATGCTCTCAAATGAATATAGAATATAATTTTTAAAACTTTTACTTGTTAATTTTGTTTAAAGGAACACAGTAAAGTATGCAAAGTGAAAATTACTTAAAGAATTAATTAAGCATCTCTGATCTACCCAGGTTTTCTGAAATTCTACCCAAAGTTTATGAAATAGGATTTTCCTTAAAATTCTTAACTTCTTTTATGTGATGTTACATCTAAAATCTAAGACAATAAAATGATAGACTTACACAAAGTATAACTACATTATCAATGATCCTAAGACTATTATTTGGTTAACAATTTTACCAGCTTCGCAAATTACTGTATTATACGTTGAACAATATAATAACACATACTTTATTTTGTGTAATAAAATACTTTTGAAAAGATGGGTGATTTTTAAAAATCTTTTAAAAATAATTCTATTTTGGTGCTTCTGATGTCTGATTCAGGTTAATAAGCTTACACGTTTGTAAAAATCATACTCTGCATTTTATTATTTGGGGCCTATATTTTTCAAGATAACAATCAGCAAAGTTTATATCTGCTCTGTGGAATTGTTTCCATTAACCTTTAAGAGGATCTTTGTGTCATTTATTGAACTGAATTCAAAATTCTTAGACTGGGTGAATAAATCCTATGTTTTAATTATCTTTGCCATGGGGATAAGCCCCTTGGGGATATTTTTGTTATTGTATACATTGTTTTTCATTTAAAGGTGGAAGAATCAATGGGCGTGATGTATGGATTTATAACTCACAGTTAAATATTTGGATCAGAGTTGCTTCTCTAAATAAAGGCAGATGGCGTCACAAAATGGCTGTCCTCCTTGGTAAAGTAAGAGAAACCACTTTTTATTACTATTGCTGGCACATTTCCAAAATAAACACTACAACTAAATCCTTCTTTTTACTCACTCTCTGGGTATTTTGGATTCAAATTGTATTTCCTTCCATTTCTAACCTCATTAGATAAACTGAAGATATAAACAATTTGACACTGTACTTTTGAATGGATATTTTGTTCTCCCAATTTGGAATTTGTGGCAGTGAAGCACATTTCTCTTTTCATGCTCCCTTGGAGTCTGAATGCCTAAGAAGCATTGGAAAATAAAGGAGTTACATCGAGTACAAAAACAGGCCAATGTCTAATCCAAGCAGTCTTTTTCCCTTTACTGACTTTGGCAGTCAGGCAGGAGATATATTTACCTAGACTGATGTTTTTTTATCTTTTTTCTTTATACAATTTAGGGACAAAACAAATTTAAGTGCTAAGATAAATTCACGAGTGTATTTTAAGGAAAACTGATTACTGATTTTGCAGCTAATAAATGTTTTAAAATACATAATTTGGGGCGGCCCCAGGTGGCTCAGTGGTTTAATGCCGCTTTCAGCCCAGGACCTGATCCTGAAGACCCGGGATCGAGTCCCACGTCGGGCTCCCTGCATGGAGCCTGCTTCTCCCTCTGCCTGTGTCTCTGTGCCTCTCTCTCTCTCTCTGTGTCTCTCATTAATTAATAAATAAAATCTTAAAAAAAGAAAAACATAATTTGGGGGGCTCCTGGGGGGTTCAGTTGGTTAAACGTCTGATGCTTGATGTCAGCTCAGGTCTTGATCTCAGGGTTCAAGCCCCATGTTGGGTTCCATACTGAGTATGGAATCTACTTTATATATTTACATTTATATTTTTTGGTTCAGAACCATTCTTTGTCCTTAGGAACCTGAGAAACACTTGCGGATTAGTGGTTTCCAAACTTTTTAAAAAGCAGCTACACCCTCTTTTATAAAGTTAAAAAAATTAAATCTAACAAAAAAGCCATTATATAGAAAAGGTAAAAAATACAGCAGTATACCAAGGGCTCTTTAGCTTTTCTCTGCCTCCATCTCTATTAGCTCTCCAAAGCTACCTTAAATTAATGAGCAATCTGAATAAAAGCAGCATACTTACTTGCCACATGTATTTTTGACTGGTTCCCTGATACCACTTTCTAAAAAGATTGCTGCCCCTTAAGACCCTCCTGTGGAGAAAACAGAATTGCTCTAATGCAAACAGAGATGGTTCAAGAACCTTTCTCAGCCTCTCATCAGCTCTCATCCTCTTCCCCTATTTCTCCATAGAGGCTTCTTGAAATTTCTGTACTATAGAATATTAGAGTTTCTGAAAGCACAGTTTGAAAGCTACTGTTAATTCGTAAAGATATTGATCTATTGTGCTGCTGCTGTCAACAAGGTCAATGAAATAATGAGGACCTTGAGATAGATGTATTAGAAATAAAATACTAATTCTATTAGTTATTTTTCCAAAGTCACTAGTTTGTCAGTACCTACTATATTATATATAGTTTTGGTAGCCATATCTCAAGAATGATAAAATATTACTGAAAGGGGGCAGCTAAAAATATTCAAGGGTTGGAAAGAGAAGAGATCTGACTAAAAAAAATTCATTTAGCCTGAAGGTACAAAGGCAAATGAAAATGATTGATGTCTCAAATATCACGTGTGGATTGGTGAACACAATTTTTTTTGACAAATGTTGGTATATTTGCCTTGAAGTTACATAAGACTTAGAAGCAATAAATCAAGACATGAAAGAAATCTTTCTACCTTACATATCAAGTACTCACATCATGGAAACTATTATCATAAGAAATTAACAATATAAACTGAATTCAAACATATAAAATTATTTGAATTTATAAATGGCCTCTATTAAGAAAACCTTGGTAAGATAATTTGGAATACTGAATCTAAGAATAGGAAGGAATCTTAGATAAAATTTCATGTAACTTTTTCAATTTATATGGAAACCGAATTCAAAGAGATCAAATCACTTGCCCAAGGTTATACAGAAAGGGATAAAGGAGGGACAAAGCCAAATTCATATTTTCTTAATCTAGAGGCCTTTCATCTCGATGCTCACAACATATATTTTCAATTTATGCATGCAGGAGAATGGCAATAAAGTTTAATCCTCAAAATTATGATATGTGATACTATTACTGTCTGCATTTTTGAATTGAGTAAATAAAGACTAAATCTCAGAAGATAAACTACCCAAGGTTTACATATCATGGCAATGCTAGATATTGAACTCTGCCTCTCCTGACTTCAAAACCATGCCCTTAGTTGCTACATTGTACCACAAGTTTCATACAGTCTTCCAGCTGAGGGACAGACACCTGGGTGGCTCAGTGGTTGAGCATCTGCCTTCGGCTCAGGGCATGATCCCAGGGTCCTGGGATGGAGTCCGTCATCGGGCTCCCCGCAGAGAGTCTGCTTCTTCCCCTGCCTATGTCACTGCCTCTCTCTGTATCTCTCATGAATAAATAAATAAAATATCAAAAAGGAAAAAAAAAGGAATTGATGAGATATTTTAAGAAAATTAATTTGTGCTGTGAAAGAAGACTCAGTGGGACTTAACAGTTATTTAGATATGGAGGGAGGAATTGATAATGACTGTTGATTAAAGGAATTGTGGATATTAAACTGGAGAAATCTCTTTTAAGTTAAGAGGTTCTTGGGGCAGCCCGGATGGCTCAGCGGTTTGGCGCCACCTTCAGCCCAGGACGTGATCCTAGAGACCCAGGATCCAGTCCCAAATCAGGCTCCCTGCATGGAGCCTGCTTCTCCCTCTGCCTGTGTCTCTGCCGCTCTCGTATTCTCTCTCTCTCTCATTAATAAAGAAATAAATGTCTTTAAAAAATAGTAAGTTATGAGTTTCTTGTGTATCTCTTGATTCCTTTTTTTTTTAAGATTTTATTTATTCATGAGAGACAGAGAGAGAGAGGCAGAGACATAGGCAGACGGAGAAACAGGCTCCACGAAGGGAGCCCGATGTGGGACTCGATCCCAGGTCTCCAGGATCACGCCCTGGGTTGAAGGCGGCACTAAACCACTGAGCCACCCGGGCTGCCCTATCTCATGATTCCTAATGGATTATTCTGCGTATAGGTCATTTAATAAATGACTTGTTGATTAGTTCACCTGTCACATGAAGGTATTAATTTGTCTGCCTTCCTCATATTTGTGAAAGCCCTTCAAAATATAGAGTTCATTGTGTGTCAGGTACTTTGTTAAGCAGAGTAGATACTAAAATGAAAAACAGGGACACACCTGGGCGGCTCAGCGGTTTGGCACCTGCCTTCAGCCCAGGGCATAATCCTGGAGACCTGGGATCGAGTCCTGCATCAGGCTCCTTGCATGGAGCCTGCTTCTCTCTCTCTGCCTATGCCTCTCTCTCTCTCTGTGTGTGTCTCTCTCATGAATAAATAAATGAAATCTTTAGAAAATAAATAAATGAAAAGACAGGTCCTGCCTTTAGTGATCCTGGAGTCTAGTATTCCTTACCTAATATTTTAGTTTCATAGCTATATTATTTCATAATAATCAAGTATTTTCATCATCCATGAGTGTGAGCAATCATGTAGTTTTCAAAAACATGCAGTATGACCCTTCAGGGGGTAAAGATTCATTCTTGGGGATAAAAAAAATTGTACTCTTTCATAGATAAAGCAGATAAACATACAGTACATAAAAAGATATACAATGTATCTGTGGTATTAAAACTTGATTGGAGGGGGTTATTATGAAAAAAACTAAAAAGTCTCCTTGGTGGTGATGATAGGGTGCTAATAAAAGTTTCAGAAACCAAGCTAAATATATTGCAATTATAGTTACCAAAGGGCTTTTTAAAGGGGACAAATCCCTAATTCCTTAGCCAACTAGTCAAAAATTCAGACTTTTGACAATTAAAAATTTTTCCATGTATTCCACATATAGGTATATGTTGTTGGAGGCTATGATGGACAAAACAGACTTAGCAGCGTAGAATGTTATGATTCCTTTTCAAATCGATGGACTGAAGTTGCTCCCCTTAAGGAAGCAGTGAGTTCTCCTGCCGTGACTAGCTGTGTAGGCAAATTGTTTGTGATTGGGGGAGGACCTGATGATAATACATGTTCTGATAAGGTAAGCCATGTTCTCTTACAGGAATTACCAGTGATGTACACAAGAAGAAAAATACAGAAGGCTTATCAAATAGTTAGGACCCTTAGTGTAAGAAACCTTTTAAAAATTGTCTAGTACTTTATACTTTAAGGAGAAAACACTGAGTTTCAAGTTACTGAAGTGAAATCCTAATATATCTAACAATTTTCTGTATAAAGCATTATCTAGTCTTTTTGAAATAAAACTAATCTCAGCATTGGGATCTTGTACTAAATAAATTGTTGTAAACCTTTTACTGCTATAGTCTATAGAAACAGAAAATGATTCACAAAAACACAGATGGGAAGTAAATTAGCAGAGGATACGATACCGTAACTATACTGCCTTCAACTGGGTCATGTTCTGCATACTTTAAAAGTATGCTTTAGAACACCAAAAAAAAAGGAAAGTAAACTTCTGTAACGTAAAGAGAAAACAGCTCAAAGTTGCTGCAGTTCACTGAATTCCTGGAACAAAAGAACATTTGCCATCCTGACACTTTAGAAAATACTGTGTTTATTCTGGAAACAACTCTCTGATGCCTAATCTGTTTCACAATTGTTAATTGAATTTTGTCAGTCAATTATTATTTAATTAAATTTTAATATAATGTTACATTTTTAGAATTCATTAATTCAGAATTTTGATAATTCAGGGTATACTGAATTGAGGTTTACTTGTGTTCTTATGAAGAAAGGACTTCCTAAAAGTATAAAGAAATTGTATTCAGGGCAGCCCAGGTGGCTCAGCGGTTTGGTGCCACCTTCAGTCCAGGGCATGATCTTGGAGATCCGGCATCGAGTCCCGCATTGGGCTCCCTGCATGGAGCCTGCTTCTCCCTCTGCCTGTGTCTCGCCTCTCTCTCTCTCTCTCTGTTTCCCTCATGAGTAAATAAATAAAATATTAAAAAAAAAAAAGAAATTGTATTCAGACTGAGGCATAGTTATCCTATATGACACAATTTTTTAAAAATCTGGACTGTTGGGGTGCTTGAGTGGCTAAGTCTGTCATGATCTCAGAGTTGTGGGATCCAGCCCTGCATTAGGCTCCACACTTAACAGGGAATCTGCTTGAGATTTTCTCTTCTCCCTCTGCCTCTCTCCCCCTGCTTGCATGCACTCCCTTCTCTCTCTCTCTAAAATAAATAAATCTGGGGCACCTGGGTGGCTCAGTGCTTGAGCATCTGCCTTTGGCTCAGGTCATGATCGCAGGGTCCCAGGATTGAGTCCCACATCAGGCTGTCCATGGGGAGCCTGCTTCTCCCTCTGCCTGTGTCTCTGCCTCTCTCTGTCTCTTATGAATAAATAAATAAATTTTTTAAAATTAATTAATTAAATCTTTAGAAAAATCTAGACTGTCAATTTTAACGGAAATAAATGAAAATTTATCATGGTAGCATAGTCATTCATCCTGGAAACAATCTGTGTGTGTTACTCTCTTCTGCTTAATAGTAATAAATTTTCATTTCTTTTGAGAATTTTTATAATTCACACATTCCCCTATCAAGTTAACCTCCTTTAATTCTGTGAATTAATGTGAATGAATTAATGTAATTAATGGGATTTAAGTTTTAATCATGTTTCTATGTATTGGTAGATTTTTTTATTAACTAAATTTGCAGTGTTGTTTAGAAATTTTAATTAAATATTTCTGTATATTACTAGGTTCAATCTTACGATCCAGAAACCAATTCTTGGCTACTTCGTGCAGCTATCCCAATTGCCAAGAGGTGTATAACAGCCGTATCCTTAAACAACTTGATATATGTTGCTGGTGGGCTGACCAAGGCAATATACTGTTATGATCCAGTTGAAGATTACTGGATGCACGTACAGAATACATTCAGCCGACAGGTAATAACATAAAACGATCCAAAAGAAAAATCAATCGAAGAGGGACCAAATACATGGCCATTATAAATATACTGTAATTTCACTGTTAGTATATTTCATGTATGCATGAATTATTTCAGAATTTTTAAAACCACATAAGTCATATGGTATACCTGTTTTGAACTTGTTCTAGGGAATTGCTTTATTGAAATAACTTGTTTTCTACCATCTCATGGTGAAGGAGCATTTGCATTTGGACTGCTGGGGTTTGTTTTCCTTGACCTTTTTCAGAATCTACCCCAGTCATTATCTCTATTTTTTACAAATTTTGAACAAGAAGAAATGCTCCCAAATTGGTTTCTTTCCTTCTATGGTTTTTATTATAAAAGAAATGTCTGTACTCAGGTCTCCTTCACCCACGCACACTACCCATACCCCTACTCCACCTCCTGCTTCCCAAAAAGGATTCTCTCAGCTTTTGATTCATGTCTCTACCCTCCTTCCTACCACCAAAAGATTTGATGGTTCTGATGCTAGGAATCTGGATCTACCTATACCACTTTAGAAGTGTTACACTCCCAGAGGTCATTACTAATAATGTCCTCAGTCTATATTCATATACTGTTTTTTCTATCCAACCCTTAAATATGGGTGTTCCTTGAGTCTCTTTCTCCTACTTGCTTCCTAGCTTTTACTTTATTCCTGAGTAAATCATACTTACTGCTCAGTACTGATAACTTCAAATCTTTATCTTCATTAAAGCCTCTCTTGTGCTCCAAATTCAAATTTCCAACTGCCTACTTGTTATTTTTTATGATGTTCCAAGAGTTCAAACTTAAAAAAACAGGATATACTGTCTTCCCCAAGCATACTTTTTCTGTTTCCGAACAGCCTAGTGAATGGAAAAACTATCTCTTCCTTACTCACATTCACAGCACTTCTGGCACCAAATATGTGGGTTCATTCCGACATTAACCAATCTTCCATCTTCAGCTGAGTGTCTTGCAATTTAATTTAGTCCTGACACTATCTACCTGGAGTTAGTGTCCCATTCCACAAGTTAAGGGCTCAGTCCCATAAGACTGCCACTGATTCAGACGCCAAATGCTAGTTCCAGTTTGTCCCCAGTACTTTTGACTGACTATAAATTAACATTTTCACAGCCCCCTCCTTGAGTTCATAATTTGCTAGAACAGCTCGTGGAACTCAGGGAAACACTTAGATTTATTGATTTATTACATAATAAGGGATATTTTAAAGGATACGGATGAAGAGGCATATAGGATAAGGTCCAGAAGGGTCCCAAGCATAGGAGCTTCTGTCCTCAGGTTGAAGTGCACCACCCTCCCAGCACATGGATGTGTTCACTAACCCAAAAGCTGTTCAAATCCTATATTTTGGAATTCTTTATGGAGGCTTCATCATGTAGTTTTAATTAAATATCCAGCCCCTTTCCCCTCTCCAGAGAATGGGAAGTGGGGATAAAAATTTTAAGATTCTAATTTTGGCCTGATCTTGTTGACCAGCTTCCTTCCAGAAGCCTGCCAACAGTTGTCTCATTAAAACAAAAAAGAGGGGATCCCTGGGTGGCTCAGAGGTTTAGCACCTGCCTTTGGCCCAGGGCGCAATCCTGGAGTCCCGGGATTGAGTCCCGCGTCGGACTCCCAGCATGGAGCCTGCTTCTCCCTCCTCCTGTGTCTCTGCCCCCCCCCCCCGCCGTCTATCATAAATGAATAAATAAATAAAAATAAATCTTTAAAAAAAATTAAAAAAAAAAAGATTTTCGGGACGCCTGGGTGGCTCAGTGGTTGAGCATCTGCCTTTGGCTCAGGGCATGATCAAGTCTCACATTGGGCTCCCTGCATGGAGCCTGTTTCTCCCTGTGCCTGTGTCTCTGCTTTTCTCTCTCTCTGTGTCTCTCATGAATAAATAAATAAAACCTTTAAAAAAAAAAAAGATTTTCCTATCACTCAGGAAATTCCAAGGGATTTAGGAACTCTGTGTCAGGAACTGGGGGCAGGGACCAATATATATTTTTCTATTATTTCATACCTAGATTTAATTTCTTAGGTTTTCCTCACTTTCTCCTAAATTGAATCAATCTAGCATATCAGTTCTGTATCCTCAGAGTTTCTCTTTCTCCTATTCTTTTCCATACCTGTGGTTTCTGCTTTTGTTCAATTCTTATCAGTTCTTCCTAAACAAAAGCAATAATATTCTAATTAGTGTTCTTTAATGTCTCTTCTCTCACCCATTTTGCCACTAGTTATTTTCCAACAAATCTTATGTCTCTCCTCTGATTGGAAACATACTAAATAAAATCCAAAAGTTTTCCTACTTCGTTTTAGGCATTCTGACTTCTGCTTGCCTTTTCAGCTTCACTTTCTGCAACTTTATCCCAATTATATTAAGTACCTGTGAATTTGCATTTGCTGTATACATCATATGTTTTCCTGCCTTAGTTCATGCTGTCCTGTGAGGCTCTAATGCCCTTTCTATCATCTCTACTTGTAATTCTACTCCTCTTTCCAGGACCACTTCATAGTTACAACAAACCGAAGTTTCCCCTGTTCAAAATGAATTTCCTCCTTTTCTAATTGGTCACTGTACTTACACCTCTGTTATGGCAGTCAGATATTCTGTTATGGGTCTAAATGTTTATTTCCATACCGGAATTCTATCTTCTTGAGAATACTGTTTTTTCTAACTCCTTTTCTATGTATCTTTCATTAGTTGGTGCTCAGTAAGTATTTATTGAGTAAGTAAACAAATGAGACAGTGTAGTAACAAGGGACCTAATCTTAAGAGTCTTATATGCAACATGTGTAATAAGAGATAATAGACTATAGAGAAGCCCCGGTGTCACAGTGGTTTAGCGCCACCTGCAGCCCAGGGCGTGATCCTGGAGACCCGGGATCAAGTCCCACATCGGGCTCCCTGCATGGAGCCTGCTTCTCCCTCTGCCTGTGTCTCTGCCTCTCTCTCTCTCTGTGTGTGTGTCTGTCATGAATAAATAAATAAAATCTTAAAAAAAAAGTTTTAAAAAAAAGAGATAATAGACTATAAAGATAATAAGAGTTTAAGGATAACACCATTTTTCAAAAGTTACTGACATTGAGGTATAGTATCTAGTAATGTATTCAAAATAATATTGCCTCAACTGATGAAAGGGACATAATAGGATCTTCAGCTTCATGGTATAGAGGATAGAATCTTCTATCCCACTTACATCATATTTAAGAAAAATGAATCACATTTCTCTAGCTCAGTGGCCTCTGCTGGAAAGATCAATCTCCAGCTCTGTAGAGGTGAGAGTGTGCCCTATCATATAAAAACCATATTATAGTCACATTAGCCAGTGTGAAGTAAACTCTAACCTCCAACATGGGACTTGAACTCCCAACCCCAGGATCAAGAGTTGCATGCTCTACCAACTGAGCCAGCCAGGTGCCTCAATTTCTAAATGTTTAAATCAAAGCTAATCTTTTTTGGCTTATTATAGTGAATATTTTAAAGTATGATGCACTTTCACCAAGAAGATACTATTCATTCAGATCTTGGCTATAAAATAGAAAATAACAATTTAGAAAAAAAAAGAAAAAAAAATAACAATTTAGGAAGATAATTTCCAGCATCTAGAATAATGCAGGGCATAATATGAATATGTTTCTAACTACATGACAAAAATGAAACTCAGAAAAAACAACAGGACAAATATGGCACATTTTTTCAAATTAATGAATGACACTGACTTCAGAATTTTCAAGGAAAAAACATTTAGCTCAGAAGTATATGACAAAGACAGATCACTGAAGGTACATATCACATATTCTATGTCAAATCTCTTGAAGCAAAAGATATTGAGATTTCTGGGGTTACCTTTTCTCCTCAGTCCATTCTTTCTATATAGTACCTCTAAGTATACTTTGTAAACATTGGTAGGTAATTTTTGAAACATCTGTAGGTGTTTGCCTGCCACTTTAATGCTAATCAGTAAAAAAGGAAAAGTCAAGTGTAATTTCATATTAGACAGCTACTTGAGTCAAAGATTATTTTTTAAAATGCTTAAAGTATTAAGTGGCAAAAAAGCTGAAAAAATTAGCTCTTTATTTTGCAGACCTAACAGACCTAATGCAGCCTTTTTCTCTTTCTGTCCCTACCATTTCCACGCCTCTTGACTCTGCATAATTCCTGAAAGCCACAACTTGCTCTTTTAAACATATTTTGCTTTTTAACTCTTGTCAGGAAATCCTTTGAGAAATTGTGGAATTTTTTTTAGGTCCATGATGAAGTTTTTTCAATCCCTCTTCAGTGACTAGGTATTTAAAATGTGATTAAAGTTTAGAATAATAAATGAAGAAAATCTGACTTTTTCTTTATTGTTGAAATTGTAACAGTTAAGCATTAAACATTATAAAAAATTATAATTAAGGGCAGTCCGGGTGGCCCAGCGGTTTAGCGCTGCTTTCAGCCCAGGGTGTGATCCTGGAGACCTGGGATCGAGTCCCATGTCGGGCTCCCTGCATGGAGCCTACTTCTCTGCGTGTCTCTCTCTTTCTCTGTCTCTCTCTCTGTCTCTCATGAATAAATAAATAAAATCTTTTTTAAAAATTATAATTAAGGGGACAGCTTTTTTTTTTTTTTTTTTTTTTTTTTTTTTAGTATTAGGATCATGTTTTGTTCCAGTCTTGAAAAATAACATTAAAGCTTCATGTTTTAGGACCCCTAGCTGGCTGAGTCAGGAGACTCAGATGTTTGCAACTGAGTGCAACTCTTGATCTCATGTTTGTGAGTTCAAGCCCCATGTTGGATGTAGAGATTACTTAAACAAGAATTAAATCTTTAAAAAAAAAAAAACCTTCATGTATTGATAAACTATTTTCTTACCAGCTGTCATTACTCCTTACATTCTAATACAGTGAAATAAGCTACTATATCTGATATAAGCAATTTCCTGATATGAAAGAAAAACTGATTTAAAGATTACTTGCTTCATTTATTTCTGAGCATTATTATCTGAAATTACATTAAGAAGATCCTATAATTATATTGTTTAAGAATCATCATTAAAGGGATCCCTGGGTGGCGCAGCTGTTTAGCGCCTGCCTTTGGCCCAGGGCGCGATCCTGGAGACCCGGGATCGAGTCCCACATCGGGCTCCCGGTGCATGGAGCCTGCTTCTCCCTCTGCCTGTGTCTCTGCCTCTTTCAGTCTCTGTGTCTCTCATACATAAATAAATTTTAAAAAAAATTAAAAAAAAAAAAAAGAATCATCATTAAAGTAACTGTAAGGCTCAGTACTACAAACTAGGTTCTATCTGAAAACTGATGATACTGTTTTTTATTGTATTCAGAATGTTTAGAATTTATAAAAAAAAAAAAAAGTTTACTGTGCTTTAGATGAAAAATGCTGGGGAGTGCCTGGGTGGCTCAGTCAGTTAGGTATCTGTCTTCAGCTTGGGTTATGATTCTGGGGTCCTGGAATCAAGCCCTGCACACTGGGCTCCCTGCTCGGTGGGGAGCTGGCTTCTCTCTCTCCTGTCTGCTGCTCCCCTTGCTTGTGCACGATCTCTCTTGATTTCTCTCTCTCTTGCTCTCTCTCTGCCAAATAAAAATAAAATTAAAGAAAAAGAAAAATGTTGTAGTTTGGCACATAATTGGTACAATTCATGGGTGATATTCTGGATAAAAGTTTGTCATTCATAAATGATAACGAGCCAGATTATTCTGGGTATGTGTAAACTCTAATATAAATATTTTTAAGTACTCAAAAATTCTTTTAGACCTGAAGAAAGATTTAATTTCTACCAAGATTTAATTTCTTCTATAAATGCAAAACTTAGGGGGGCCTGGGTAGTTTAGTCCATTTAAGCACCTACCTTCGGCTCAGGTCATGATCTCAGGATCCTGGGATCAGAGACCCACATGGGGTTTCCTGCTCAGCAGAGGGTCTGCTTCTCTCTCTCTCTCTCTCTCTCTCTCTCTCAAGTAAGTAAATAAAATCTTCTATAAAAAAAGAGCAAACTTACATACACAGTAAATCTAATCAAGTTAAAAATGTTTATTGTACCAATTGGTAAAATCCATCCCATTGTTAGTTATATGAAACAGGATGATAGTAATGTGCAATAACTTTCTGAATTAAAGTAAAATGTAAATAGAATATTCGACCTGCAGCATAACGAGATCCATGAAATAGACAATTTTAGTGTAATTTCTTTATTTGAAGAATCACTCTCATCCTTGCAAGAATATTTGTTTTTTATAGTAATTATGTTATTGACAGAGGAAATTCAGCTAAGATTCCTATTGTGTGCAAAGTTAAAATATTTGAGGAGTTTCTATGTCCCAGCCAAAGCCCCTGATAACAGTGCTTTGTCAATTTGTTTATAAATCTTTCTCTCATTAATTCATTGAACTTGTGGGTAATCCCACATAATGAATAATGTTCCTACTCCTTGGTCATGTAATAGCCACTTGCTATACTAAGGGACCTCCTTTTAAGAGGAGAAGCAAGTCATACTGTTCAAAAATATTTTCGTTCAACTGCTATTAAGTTAAAACTTGTTTCAGTCCACTACCCTCACTTCACTCCCACGTCTGGGCCCCAATCAGTAGTATAGATTTTATTTTAACATTTCATTCATGCAAAATTACCTAGCGCTCACACATAGAGCAGGAGTTGGGCAAAAGGGAGCTTGTTTCATGTCGTCTTTTTTTGTCTGTTAAAACATATTTTACTTTTCAGTTTGCTAGCAAATCCCCTCAAAGAGTTAATTTTTTTTTTTTATTTGGTTCAACAGGAAAACTGTGGTATGTCTGTGTGTAATGGTAAAATATATATCCTGGGTGGAAGACGGGAAAATGGAGAAGCCACAGACACTATTCTCTGTTATGATCCTGCAACAAGTATCATCACAGGGGTAGCTGCAATGCCCAGGCCAGTGTCCTATCACGGCTGTGTGACTATACATAGATACAATGAAAAATGCTTTAAGCTCTAATGCCAGGATACCTCACCCAAGAAGCCACACTGATCCAAGATGAGAGGTTTTAAGAGCTCCAGAGTGGGAACTTGACATATCTCCTTTGTGCCATGTACACAAAAAAGTAAAGATAATAATTGTGGTGCCTTTTCCCCTGAAATTCAATCTTTCAAACTGTAATAAAACCTTTCCTATAATTGGGGGAAAAAAATATGTTGTTGTTGAAAGTAATAGTGGTTATTGCTTGGGTTTTGAGAGTGTACCTTTGTAAGTATTGTAAGAAACTCATGTGGAGTAGGAAATAATGTCTGCCTGTGTAATTTTTAGGAATTTGTGAATGGTTTTTCCATTTGTATATGTTTATCTGTAAGCCTATATATTCCTTATTTTGTCATATATGTATAGAAAATTGCATGACTTAGGCTTCATTTAGTTTGAATCACATAATGCTTAGAGTGCTTACAAAGGGCGGGAAATCAGTTTAAAAATCTTTTTCACTAAAAATATATTCAAACGGATTAATTGTATTGAAGGGTTTTTTTTCAGTAATTGATAAAAATGAAATGACAACAATTTGAGTATTATACTGAATTATCATTACTTCTTAGAACTGTCTTCTACTAAACATATTTTTGGAAAACCATTGGATAGGAGATAGAAAAGCAAGTGCCCCTAAAATGGGGATTACAATTATAGGTTAATTCCTAAGAAAAAAAAATATGTAAGACCATTGAAGGGAAAATGACCCACTGTGGCTCTCAAAGTACTTATGTATCATCTCTAAATTCTCTAAGGAAGCACCTTTACTTGAATCTGACAAAAGAGTTGAAATCCGTTTTGCGATACTATTTTGTGGAAAACAAGGACAGATTTTTCTCCCTAGCCCAGTAGGGTTTGGCTTCATTAGTATGGTGCTTTGGGTGAGGACCTCTTCCCTGGTTATCCTCCTTTCCTGTGAACAGGTAAAACTCCTGGAGTCTCCACTCTTGAGTTGCCTTTAAAGGATAAAAGAGGGACCACTTTTCAGTGGGTCCATTTTTCTTTTAAAATTAGCTATCCAAAAAAAAAACTAACTGCAGTATTTGCAGTCTTTTAAGAGAAATCTTTCATTTGGTACCCATTGTGGAAAATACTAGTCAACATTCTCAAGCTTCTCTACAACAAATTGCTTTGTCTAGATTTTTCAACTCCAGTTTATAAGCTTACTAGTTTTCAGAAAGGAATATACAGTTGTTTTTAAGGCAAATGGAATGGCAGGAACTGTAGCCCAAGTGATTACTGTCATTCCTGGGTGAACAGGTAAAATTTACAACATTTTAGGGATATTCCAGGGATGTTCAGGTAGCCTGCTGGATTTCAACTTCCCAGGCACTATTGTGGTCTCACATCATAATACATACTCCTTGTCACAGGAGAGATGATGCAAATGTGTGATTTTAGTGCCACCATATTTCTGTTAAAACCAAGTTAGTAATCAAAACCTTACATAGACCATTTGTTTTCTCATTTTCGAATGATATAGAAATTTCTAATAAACTGTATAGCATCAATGTCAATGCTTAGCTGGAATCTGAATTCTGAGGAAAACTCTAAAAATCTTATAAATTTTGAGGGAATTTTAATTTTCCAAATTTTAGTTTGAAATATATACTCTTCTGATAATTATAAAAGCAATTCAGGAAACAATTTTCTATCATTTTTGTTGAAAGACAATTGCAAAAACAATTGGGATACTTGTTTTAATTCTAAAGCAAATTAAACAGTATCCCTACTGTCAGTATCTACCCCTGCAATATACCTTTTGTAGATAATGGAACCTATTTAGTTCAGAAATTCTTTGCAGTAGATGTGATAATGTATGAGAAAAGTATTTTGTAAATGTTGAGGAGTATACAAATGATACTTGTTATTTTCATGTGTATCTGTAAGATCATGCCCATACATAAATACAGACACTTCACACACAAAAAATACTTTCTCAAGATCACTTGTATTGTAGTACTTTGTCTATTGTAAAAGTATTAACTATTTACCTGTATTTCTTTATACATTTATTTTTAAAACCCATGTGTTTATTGTACTAAATTTGAAATGAAATCCTATAAAACAATTTGCATAAACATAGACCTCATGTCAATATTGTTTAATTTCTTTCTACATAACTTAAAACTGCATAAATTAAGTAGGCCACCAAGAACTTAGCTTAAGTCCCATGACATTAATAATTTTTGAAATTAGTCAACTGATTTTTTAATAGCCTTTATTTATCTTCCTTTACTGAATATTGATAAAGGAGTTAGCATTGATAAAATAATTTTAGGGTATAATTAGTATATCAAAAGGGATTCATCAACCAAATTGTGTCAGATTATATTCATACTGTCATTACATAGTTGACAGATTTTCTCTTGATAGGAGATGCTCATATAACCCTTTGGGATTAGTATGTATGTATATACATGTGTAGATAGATAATATGGTCATGTACACACATATATACAAACACCAAGAATTTGATCACTTCGTGATGATCAGAAAAAAGCACATAAAGTAAAAATTGGTTGACTTTCTTAAATTCAATTCCAGAAGATTTTTTATTTGGGTATTTTTATAATACTTTTTTACATTTGAAAGTACATGTTGAGGGGCACCTGGCTGGCTCAGTCAGTAGAGCATGGGACTCTTGATCTTGGGTGGTGCACTGGAGTCCCACGTTGGGTGTAGAGATTTCTTTTAAAAAGTTTGAAAGTACCTGATGAGTGTTAGTATAATGACTTGTGTACAGTCAAAATCTATGTAGTACATAAAGTTTCACAAAATCAGAAAACAAATTGGAGATAGAGACAAATTTGCTAAACCCAACTGTGATACCTCAGTGGGAAAAGCAGTTCAAACATGTTTTGTTGAATTAATAGGAAAGTATAGTCTTTTTGTTCATGAATGTGTGTTTTCCTATGTATGAGTGAGCTATAAAGTGGTCTAATTTTTACAACAGTGGACCTTCTTTGTTTTCAGCCTTAATCTTCCCACTGACTACTGCACAGGTATGAAATAGTAGCTTACTCAGTCTTCAGTAACCTTTGTTTCCCTGGATGACTGAAATATAGATATTTACTCCATTTAAACCAGGTGTTAAAAAAAATGATGTAAATACTCAGGGAGGGTATTAATTTGTCATTTTTGCCTATTTGGGTTGTTTAAAGTGCCATAACTATATAACCTTCTGTTCATGATCCTAGAGTAAATTTAATTTGGTAAAGGGGCTTCACACAGGCCGAGGTTGAACATTCATTCTTTTATATTTAGAAAGATGAAAATGTTTTGTGGACTGATATATTTTCTCTTAGTGATTACAAATTGTTTATGTATCTCTACTGTCATATACCCTTTTGAAACTCAGGAAAGACAAAGGTTCAGTTATACTACTTTTGTCAATACGCAACCCAGGTGTGTGTGTGTGTGTGTGTGTGTGTGTGTGTGTGTGTGTGTGTGTGTGTTTTTCCTGTTGTCTGGATATGCCAATAGATTTTTTTTTTAAGAATTGCTGTGAGAACCCATTCATGAAAAGAATAGAGGGTTTGAATAATTGTGTGTGCCTTTTGTGTCTTGAGATTTACATATGGAAAAGACATCTCCAGACTATATTTTCAAAGAGAAGAGATAGCTATTTATGTGGTGCCAAGTGATAAGATAATGTCTCTTAAAGGCTTCCTATGGAAGCCTTTATTTTACTAAACTCAAGACACCAGTTAACCTCAACATAATTTTGGCCTTATTAGAATTTCTTGTGCATTATATTGAAAGCCAGGTTTACATCACCTCACCCCATTATTCTTTTTAGCTAAATAAATAAATTTGCCATATCAAGTAACCAGAATGGGGGCAATTTGGTTGGCTTTTAAGTAGGTTTGACTAGGTAGCTCTACTTATTGTCACATCTAATGCTAGACATCAGAAACCACTTGAGCCAGAGTGTGAATTGATAATTCCAGAGACATTTTCAACATACTTCAGACATTTTTTAATGTTTTTTATGAATGTTTTACATGTGTGTGATTGCCTTAGATATTAAATTTACTTAGTGCTAAAGATGATCATCATAAATAATTTTTTAAAACAGCAGTAGTCATAACTTATTTTATATAATGTTCCAAAGAAAAGAACTTAATGTTTTCATAATAACTACATCTGAATTTGTTTATGTGCCTTAAGTTCTCTAGTGCTATTTCAACTTTTTTTTCATTCTAAATAAAGCTTACCTTAGATGAGTTTCATATTTGTTTCCTACAGAGTAAGTAAACTTCCCTTCTTAAATTTTTTAATAAGCACCATGTGGTTACTTGGCAGAATGAGAATGTTAAGAAATGTTGAGTGTTTGGAGTTTTATTATATTCGGGGATTTTGTTTGTCTTGTAACCAAGGTGCTTTTTAAGATATTCAAACATCTAACATTGATTAAACTTTTGAAAACATCATTTGCAAAGTCTACATCTAATGTCAAAAAAGTAAATGTACTTATTTTTGTTCCATTCTTATGTACTTTTTTTTTCCTTCTACAGGCTTTTTCATTTATATTTCTTGAAAAAGTTCTTACTCTTGCTTTCCCCATCATCCCTCCCCCAGTTTCTTTTATTTAAAGTTTTGAGAATTTCTGGAGCTGTGTAAGACAACAATTACAGTGTTGAAAAAAAGCATAATATGCTTTACAACTTGTACAAACCGATGGCAGCCAAATGTCATTTGCTTTCAGTGAGAGGCTCCAGTATCTTCACAGTAAAAAGTGCTTTGTACTTCTTTGCTCTCAATTTGATTGTAGCACATTAATACTAATATGCCTTGTTCAAATATACTTTGTGCATAGTTTAATTTTTTAAAGTTGTATCTAATAAAATGTCCTTTAACCATTATTTGACTATACAGTTGTATTAAATTTTGTTTACCAAAAACTTGTTTTTTGTTTTATTTTAAATACATCCAAATGGTTGTGCAAAAAAAGGATGGAGGAAAATTCATATTAATATATGTGAATATGTACTGGTATGTCCATAAAGTAACTAGAAGAATAAATAAAGCATTAGTGTATATGAAGAAGGGAGATAGTGGCTGAGGAACAAGTAAAAAGGAAATGCCACTCTGTACTCATATGTAATTTTATGTAATTATGTATAAATGTGCATATAATCGATATTTTTGTCTGAAGCACATGGAAGTGTTACCTATCTAAAAAAAATTTTTAATTACCAGAAAGTTACTCATAACATGTTTACTCTAGTGTTTCTTTGACTCTCAAAAGTACCCTTGTAGTAATATTAAGAGTAAAGGACTTAAGAAATTTTCTTTCAGGGGATCCCTGGGTGGCGCAGCGGTTTAGCGCCTGCCTTTGGCCCAGGGCGCGATCCTGGAGACCTGGGATCGAATCCCACGTCGGGCTCCCGGTGCATGGAGCCTGCTTCTCCCTCTGCCTGTGTCTCTGCCCCTCTCTCTCTCTCTCTCTCTCTCTCACTGTGTGCCTATCATA